GAGCTGAATTTGACCTAAGATCAAAAAGAAAAGTTTGATTTTGCTGTTGTCTCCCTTCTCCTGTGCTTCTGTTTCCCTGGGAGGTGGCAATCTGAAGCCATCAAAGCATCTTATTAGCTACAGCAACGGCTAAATAGGAAACATTTAATTTTTGAGAAATAATGAGAGAGTGTGTTCTGACGTTCTTTCTGTCAGCTTCTGCCTCTCTCCTATCATTTAGATCCTAATTGCTACAAATTACAGTGTGTAGTTTTTATCAGTTGTGGACCAACAGACCTTGGACTGATGTACGCTATGATATTGTATTGAAACAACATTGTAGATGCTGATGTGCAGACACATGTTTAATGTAAAATGAACTGGGAGCACTCAGTAAAACTGAAATGAGAAACACTGGATGCCTAGATGAAAAGTTGCATTCCACAGGATCAGTACCTTTCCCTTCACTGGTGGGGCAAGGTGGCTTTTTGTAATGGACAGGGCATAAGGAATGTAGAGTATTGTTTCCCTGGGTGCTTCCCTCTCCTTTGCTTTATTAGCATATGGTCTTGATTTTGATTGTGGCCTTCAGCAGTGACACTTCATGATATCCTAATTTAACCTGCTGGTTTGTACACTCATCTGCCTTCCTGAAAATCATTCAGCTTCAAAGCTTTCTCCAAAACCATGGAAAAACACTTTGGTTTCCTGATGCTTTGGGCAGCTGACAGCATCATTAAACAACTCCTGATATTGTGATGCTGTTTTCAGATCTGGGGCTTGCCCCTGCCCACAGGGCAATACCCTCCTTGGCGATGGAGAGCACGCTTTGGCTTGGGGAGCAGCCACCAGTCTGTGCCTCTATTAGAGCAAATATGTGTGGTGCAGAAGTCATAGCTTTTCTTTAAGTTTGAAATCCAGGCAGTGAAACAGCCTGCCATGGGACAGCAGTTTATGGAGGGATACGAATTAGTCATCCAAGGTGCCAGCCCCAACCCCAGGTTGGCAGGGTACAAACCCCTCCCTGCTCCATGAAGTTACTGGGATATGGCTGTGTGGCCAGATCAGCTGCAGGAGATGGGTGCAAGAGAGGTAGAAGCTCCCCCTACCTCACTTCTTCCCCTCTGAGATGAAGGTCCTGTGTGTGGGGCAGCAGGTGGGGAGTCTTTCTGCCCTGCACTCATTGCCTTGACCTCCATTCCTGCTGGGCAATGAGGAATGAATTTGACCAGCCACTGATCCACCCTGTCTGTTACTGCAGAGGAAGAGCCAGCTATGCCAACACTGGATGCTGGTATGTGCCTTTTGCACAGGAGCTGGTCCCAGGTGGCTCAGAGGTTGAGCAGGACAAGATGTGCCTACCTGCAGAGTAAGAGAGTTGTCCATCCTTGCTGCAGCACAGCTCTGCTCCCAACCTAGGGAGCAGACACAAGGATTTCACAAAACCCCCTTCTTGTAGGAGAGATCCCAGTGAGGGGAAAGGCCCCGTCACATGGACTGAGGGCAGCTGGTGAGCCAGAAAGCCAGCACCCTGGTCCCAGCACTGGCAAGAGGGCTTTTATCTGATAAAAGGGCATATATCATGCATGCAGAAGAGTTAGTCATGTGCGAAAAAGGCTGCTCAGGGGATTAAAAGGACTATTTGCCCAGCCCCCAGTTTGAAGCACCAGGAAGAGGCAGAGGTGCTGGGATTGCCCCCCGGCAGTGCCCAGGTGCAGCTGAAGCAGCATGGCCCCTCTCCAAGTACTACTGTAGTGTCAGAGAAATTTGCGCCGGGGCTGAAGCCACGCTTGGGCCATCCACTTCCTGCACAAAGCCACTTTACGGGGAGTCCTCAGAGCAAGGATTTGCCAGGTATTTAACTGATTTAAGCAGCTCTTTGGCAAACAGCAGAGGAATGGCAGAGAGTGGGTCAGGCGCAACCCTGCACAGGCAGTGGGATGGCTGTTCCACAGCAGCTCATCCTCCTTGGGGATGCTCCAGGCCAGGCAGCCATGGTGCTATGCAGCCATAGCCCTTCAGAGCCCCTCTCTGTAAATCAGTCACTGAGTAATGCTTATGTCCATTTTTTATGCACTAGGCAGAAGTGCAGCAGAGAGCTTAGACAATTATCCTGTCTGGAAAAATTGCCCGATAATGATATTTTAAGCAATTTAAAGAGTTTGTGGTCCCCAATACACAACACAGGAGTTTCTTATTGAGGCATGCCCTGACTGCAATTCTTTGTTATTGCAGTCATAGTTTCATAGCACAGCTCAGCCAACAACGTGAGTGGTGAGGCAGAAAGCTGTTCTAACAGAGCCAGAGTACAGATGAACATTGGTGGGCAGCTATTTAAGTAGATGTCAAACAACTCAAACCCTCGAGACTACTGGACTGGGAGTATCAGGTAGGAGCTGGGAGCCACAGTGCGCACTGGCGATCCGAGGGGTGGAGGGCAGGGTTGGCACACTGGAAAAGAATGAGGTTGTGCTGTCATGTCAGGTTATCTGCAGCCTTTGTACTGTGGCAAACTGACATAGTCATCTTTGCTCTGAGCCAAGCAGGCTGCCTGCCATTGCACACAACATCTTTGAATGAGACTGGATTTTAACTCCTGGTTGCTCTTCTCCTGTCACCCAAGCCCAAGGGCTGCTACCTTGCTACCCTTGCGGGATGTTTGGATTTCCTGAAAAGAATCAAGCTACTTCCATTTCTCAGTTGTTTGCTGTTTCCTTTTTGCTGTGGCACAAACTATCTCCAGGTTCTTGCCAGACCAGACAGAAGGTCCACCCCAAGAAATGCTCCCAGCTCAGTGGATGGCATCCTCTCCCAACAGGCCTGCCCTCACCATCTTAGACTACACAAGTCACTCCAAGCTCAGAGCCCAGCCATCCTTCAGAAAGCCTGTAGTAAGGCTGACACAAACAAGTCTGTATCCAGTGGTCTTCCATGTGTCTGCTTGCAGAAACAAATCCATCCATGAAAGTATGATGTGTGTGGAGCCCCACTGTTACAATCGTTTTTCAAAACATGTCTTTGTGCTAATTAATCAAACAGGTTAGAGTTTTTTTCTCTTGTGTTAAGGCAATGGCAAGAAAGATGCAGTGTAATTCTTGTATTATTTCTCAAATATGATATCAAGTATTGCGTTTAGGTATGCAATAGAAAAGAAGTTACAAATAAGGCTGAAAATTTGCAGCATAATTCAGTGTGGCTCTCCCTGCTGCCATTTTCAGCTCACTGTTCTAGTACCTGAAGAAGTACTGGGTCCAGTGAGTGTTCAGGTAACTTACCAGCATAGAGGAGAAAATAAAAGAGTTAAAGTGAGCAGTCAACATAATCCCTGTTGACTAATGGGAGACAAGAAATCATATCAAGGTGATAATAGAAATAATTCTCTACTCTGACAGACAGCAGATGAAACAACACAAAAACCTGTCAACATTTCAGTACATGACAGACTCAGTGACAAATTAAGGAACGATGAGCTAGACAAGAATCACAAAAGACACATAATTACTTCAAAAAACAGGCTTTACAGTTATCAGTCAAGAAGAGGGGCCATTTTAAGTGATAACTCTCCTGGGCCTTGCTGTATCCCATAAAATCTGGATGTGGGAAGAGAAAACCTAACAGGTTTGTGGCATTGCCAGGTGAAAGTCTTTTGAAGGATTAACAATTCCAAATGATCATAAAAAAATGGAAAACTGGTCTGAAAGCATTGCTATGGATTCAGCCCAGACAAATTCAAAATGTGCTAATTAGTGCCACCCTGGAACCAGAGGTACTGCGACAAGAAAGGAACAACTGAGCAAGTAGCAGTGCTACTGGAAAGGTCACAACTGCAACATGAGTCAGTGTTGGCTAATGTTGCCAGAAAGAAGGTATGTATCAGCAAGGTACATCATGTAAGATATGGATGGTGATTGCACTACTGATCATCGTTAAGGTTTCAGTTACGATCAGATGTGGACACGATCGCTGAGAAAGCATAAAATATAGTGAGTCTGGATGGCACCAAGAAAAGTAACATGGAATTTAGGGAATGTGGGGAAGGGTTGAGTGAATGCTATTGGGAAAAAAAAAAAAAAAAAAAGATTGCTAAAAGACTGCTAAAAGATTGTACATGGATGACAGATCACTTTTACATGGTCCACGGGCATGTATCACACAATATTGAAACAAGGTGCTTCCTCAAGGTCCCTGGTTTCTGGCTCTGCTTGCTGGGGATGCCTGTTGCTGGTTGCCTTGCTGAGGCTGTGCTGGTTTCAGCCTCTTGCAGATGGGTGGCTGCTGCTACCTTCTTGGGTTTGGCAATGAAGGGGCTGATTGCTGCTGCTTGTATGTAGACAGACTCAGTGGCTTTGGAGGGGCTCTGCTGGGAACTGGAAGCCAAACCCATGGATGTGGCTGCAGAGTTGTGTCCCAGAAAACTCCCCCTTGCCAAGGAATAAACGAAGAACCCAAACCAAAAGCATCCAGGTGATGCTGGGTAGAAACAGGCTAATTTAAAAAACACCAAGGTTTTGTCTGAACCATAACACTCAACCCACGCTGCATTTCCAGAACTAATTCGTGCATCGATTTTCCCATTGATCTGCAGTAAGTGCTAGGTTCCAAGCTAGATTAGCAAAGGTATTTAGATGTTAAACTGGAGTCATATTAGTAGTCAAAGTCACCATAGTACTTAAATCCAGTTGATTTATAGTTCAGATTAGGTCTCTATGCAAGACGCTGTGATCCCACTTGTCTCTTGCTATTTTTCAATAGTTCAGTGAACACATTAAAAAATCTGGTTTTATATGCCCCAGTTGCTTTGAAAATGAGGTATATCATCCAAACCACTTGGGCTTTGCAAAGGATTTTAAAACATGGCCCTAAACCCCCAGCCACGTAACCTATGTCAGGCTAACTGGCATTTCTTCCTGCCTGGGAGTTAAGGTTCACAGCTTGGTGTTTCAGTGAAGTTTCTAAATATTTTTACAGCTTATCACCAACTTGTTAAAGGATTCACAGATTCTGAGCTACCAAAGACAAGGGCAGGCTATAGATAAAGTGGCCAGCTGTATCATTGACAGCACATTTGGGAAACATTAACCAAAAGTAAAAGCCTTTTATAAGAAGGCCATAAAATGGCAGCAGTAATTATGTTTTCCCAAAGTTAATAATTGACTTTTGTTTATTTGTCTTTTTGTAAAAAACTTTTTCCTTTCTCTCCTTCAATGGATAAAACCTATAAAAGGCCCTGCAAATTGGATTCAGCCTTTTTTCTTCACTCTAGTCTTGCTTGAAGGCGGATGAGACATAGCCTGACACAGAAGCTTACCTGAGGAAACCTACTTCATTGGGTGGTTCTCAGCCCAGACAAGAATATGTTGGTCCACCTTTGGCTTGTCTGTGGTCTGACTGCTGTTGTGACCCCCCAGGATGTCACACCACAAGCCCAAATGTTTCTAGAAGAGTTTAACAGGAAGGTAGAAGACATCAGCTATGAAAGCTCCCTTGCCTCATGGAACTACAACACCAACATCACTGAGGAGACTGCCAGGCAAATGGTAAGTGCTCCATCCCACAGGTTTTACTGTTGTTTGAGGAATCTAACAGCTACTTTCTAGTTTATTTTGGTTCCAGTTAAGTTGGCTGAAATTGGACTGCTACTTCTTTGGTAGCTGTGGTTTAGTTTCAGGAGGGTAGAGGGTCTTGTTTTAACGTAGCAATGCCTCGCTGGAGGTGCCTGGGCCACTACCTGCCTCTACAGCTTAGGGTCGGTGCCTAGGATGCCTATGCAGTACATGGGGATGGTCAGAGGCTGGACTTGTCCCTAGCCATTACCCTGAATCACCCTGGTGAGCGAAGGGAAAAGGCAAGGAAGTGGTGCATGTTCTGCCCCGAAATCTAAGAGATGCTTCCTTCTGATTGGGGTCCACCACCACCAGCGCTTCGTGTTGCACTCTTCCTGTGCAGGGCCCCTTTCCTCTTGGAAAGGTCACAGGCTGGAGGGGATGGTCTTCTTCCAGGGCCCAGGCTAGATGCTGCCTTGCAGCAGGAAGTACCACAGCATTTGTACTTACCTTGCAGTACAGTCCTCCCTGCTTCTCAACCTCTAGCTGTTGAGGCAGATGGGATCTGTAGGCAAGTACCGTGTTTATAAAGAGCAGTCAGCCATGATGTAGGTGGTTACAAGATCACGGGTGCCATGCCTCAGCCTAGCATCTCATAACAGTGGAGCCTTTCAGAATGGACAAAGACACCTTAAATTTTATAGCTGTGTGTATTTTAAGGTTAACTCAAGCTTTACAGAAAAACAATTCAGAGCAGAAAAATGAAGCTGAACATCCTACATCCAATTTTCCATAATGGTGTAACTCTTCCAGTTTGTGATCTTATAGATTAATTAAAACATGGTTTAATGATCGTATTTCTTAATTAAAGCAAGGAGACTCGTTGCTGGAAGAAATCTGAATGGCTAATCATTGTCAACCTGGAATGTTTTCTGAGGCACCAGGTACTTTAACATTTCCAAAGATGTAAAATAAAAGCCCCATATCGTACCTTCAGCATTAGTGAGATGATAATAAAATACGTGCGGAGACACCAGCAAGAAGAATCAATTAGTTGAGTGCTCAAAGAGAACATTTTCTCTCACTTGATCTCTTCAGCAACACTTGAAATAAGCGCACTTATGAGGATCAGAGTTAATGAATACTGTCTTTTCTGGCTCCTTCCCAACCATATTCCTTGTAAACTGGGCCACAAACACCCTAACTATTCCCTGACTTCTCAACCAGTACCTCTAATTGACGAAAAATCAGCAAGCTGACTTCTTTCCCCCAGCTTTTATAGCCAAAGAGCCCCCTCTTCTGCCCCACTGCTACTAAGACACCTATCAATCCCTGCTCAGCACAAGGAGTTCAGACATAGATTTACACAGTGTACATGAAAGAGCTTTTCAGAGACAATATGACATTTGTGTTTCCTGATGCCTCAGCAAGGAGGGGCTCTGCTGAGGGAGATGTTACAGGTGCCTTCTCCACAACCCAGGAAGCTCTGGCATGAGCACAATTAAGGAGGATCAGGCTTAATTAGTACTGTTCTTGTTACCATTTGGGATGGGTATTGATACACAATGTACAAACACATTTTAAAAAGGTGAATAAAAAGAAGAGAGTCTGAAATCCAAACACTGTCTTTATGGGGCTACTTTGTCCACTGAAATCGGGGAGTTTCATGTCTCATGATATGAAACTGTAGCAGTGATAAAAGCAACTTCATGCAAAACATTGAGGTTTTGCATGCCCAATTTAGGCACCTATTTCTAGGCTTCTAAGCTCAAATACAATCATTTATTTACCAGAACTTCAGGAGAAATTGATATTTGCATATGTTTATTGATTTTATATATATTGGTATATTATGATATTACTGATATATAAGTTGATATATGCATATGGCTGCTGTCTGTCCCTGCTACTTGAAGCAGAAATGGGGAATGACATCTGGGATACAGACCTCTCATGCCCTGACTTGTATCTGGTTTTTGTTAGGCACAGGTGGGTGGAAAAAAACACTAAGGGAAGAACACATGGTATTTTAAAGTATCAGGAAACACAGCTAGGTGATGCTGGATCGATTATAACAAGCATGGTGTGAGGTGACAGGTTCACTTTTTGCTATTTCCAAAGAAAAATAGTTATCTGGATATGCGAACAAAGCAAAGCCAAAGCATTCTTCAATCATTTCACTGTGCAGTGCAAATGCTCAGCCACAGGTGGTCTCCACAAAGGAAGCTTTCCTGGAAATAACGTTCTTGCCTACTGAGTATTTCAGGATGCTGCACTCTTTTGACAGAGTAATTCAGGGTTTGTGTGAACCTCTTTCAGAATGAGGCAGGTGCCAAGTGGTCCACATTTTACGAGGAGGCCTCCAGGAATGCCAGCAGCTTCCCGTTATCCAGTATCCAGGATGTTCTCACCAGGCTTCAGATTCAGGCTCTCCAGGACAGAGGATCATCTGTGCTGTCACCAGAAAAATACAGCAGAGTAAGTTGATGAATGTAGCTCATTTTTGTGAGTTGAGTTGAGCTGCCTCTCATGACACCCCCAAGCAATGGCAGAGTGTTGTTGCCACCTGCTTGTCTCAGGATGATGCCTTTTTCCAGCACCAGAATGGAGAGTGTACCTGTTCAAGGTACTCATAGCAGTACAGGACTGATGGGGAAGTCTGGTTTATGAAGCTGATTCCCATCCAAGTCAGCAGTTTCGCTGTGTAATCCATGCAATGAATTTCAAACATGAACACACGCTTCAAAGGTGTCCTTGACAAATAGCTGTATTGGTCCTAAGGGGAAAAGAGTACCTGCGAGAAGTGCTTGGCTAAGTGCAGACCTAGGGCAATGAGCAGAAAGAGATGGGTCAAAGGACATTCAATGAGTCAAAAAGGTGGAGGAAGACTTTCTTTCTTTGATCATGTTTCATTATTAAACAGTGAAAAAGGGGGTGTTTTATGCAGCGGGCACCCTGGATGCCTGAAATTGGAGAGGGTCGGTGACTTCCTACCTTCCTTCCTTCCTTCCAGAGCTCTCTCTGACTGTATGTTAAGGACCTGAATATTACATCATATATTTGGGGGATTATCTGCCTGTTCCAGCTAGGTCCTGGTTCAGTAATTCATTTAGGAAAATTCTTTCATTAACCTCTACTGAGCTTAAATGTATGTTTAAATGTTAAGCTGGTGGGTGAAGTGTTGAACTGAACTTTTAAGGAATTAGCATAATTGGCTGTTATTTTGCACAAAGTGTGTTTCTAACAGACTATCTCACATCTAACTTGCAGCTGAGCACTGTGTTAAATACAATGAGTACCATCTACAGCACTGGGACTGTCTGTAAAATCACCGAACCATCCGAGTGTTTGGTGCTGGAGCCAGGTACAGTACTAACCATAGCCCCTACTCTGTCCTTTACATTGAGGGTTCAAAACAAAAAAGCCCAAGAGTGGCTCCTGACTGCAAGAGACCAGGCTGTCATTTCAATAGATATACCTTGCTATCTAAAACTTAGTAATAATTTAATTGCATCTTGTGGTTCAGGGACCTCCAGCGGGCCTGCTGCCCACAAGACATACTGTCTCCTACCTGTAGTAGACAGAATTTGAAGAGAGCTGTTCAGCCTGTGTGCCAGTCTGCCTATTACCTGGAGTTTGCTTGTGTCACAGAAAGTCCATTATTTTCCCCATCATCAAAGTCTTGTTGGACTCAACATTACATTGAGGCCAATCCCAAGAACACTGCCCATTTAAGGGAAGCTAATGTAAAGAGAGCATATAAGGGACTCGTGATCTGCTCCATGTCTCTTAAAGAGGACAGGAAAAGCTCAAATCAGAAAAGAACACAATAAAATAGTGAGTTATTGAAAATTTCTTTTGCTTTGGCTCATTTGCCTCCTGTGAAAGAAAAATAGAGATTCTGCCTTTTTGAGTCTTAGTACTTATTATTCTGTTCTGACAGGTCTTGATACTATTATGGCTAACAGCACGGATTATAATGAGAGGCTGTGGGCCTGGGAAGGCTGGAGAGCTGGCGTTGGCAGAATGATGAGACCATTATACGAAGAGTATGTTGAACTTAAAAATGAAGTTGCAAAGCTTAATAGTAAGTCACAGTTTTATTTTTCTTTTCTGGCACCCAAAAAGCAACAAACATGCACGAGTCTTGCACAATTTGGAACTGTTTTCTCAAGGAACAATGGCAGATGGCTGCTAGTTTTCTTTTAAAGTATCTTTTGAAGTAGCTATATTATCTGTCTCTTGGCCAAACTGCACCTGTATCACCTGCTTTCTTATATCCTTGTTTTGTGAAAATTATCAAGCTGGAGCTAGACGTAAGGAATAAGAAATTATAGCCTGAATAGTTAGACACAAAAATATCAAATATTAAGAAATGATCATAAAGAACTTTCTCCATATCACTAAGGAAGAGGCCTCAGCTATGAGACATTTCTACTCTAGGCTTAATGAAGCTCAGTGGACTGGAAGAGTTGGTGGAACTGGGAGATGAATTCCAGTCCTGGTATCTACACCTGCTCTGGTGGTTTTGTTGCTAGAAGGGGGGGCCCATATTCAGTGTCCACCACCTTACATCTTCAGTGAGAACCCCTTAGTACACAGCCTGACAGAGGCTGCCCTCCCACATAGCCACAGGAGCTCCAGTCAGGAGTGACAATTTCCTTTGACCTCCAACTGGAATGACCTTAATTAGCAGATAACTGTGACTGCAGTAACTGCATTTCTTGGAACACTAGCATACCTGCATGTTCATGGAACAGAGCCATGGACGAGCACTCTCCCCTGCCTAGACCCTTTGCAGGTCTGCATGGGATCATCAGGGAGCAGCACTCCTGCAGACCCACGTGGTTCCACGTGTGGTATCCTGATTTGATGCATCTGTGCTTTACAGGTTATTCTGACTATGGAGATTACTGGAGAGCAAATTATGAAGCAGACTATCCAGAAGAATACAAATACAGCCGTGACCAACTGGTCAGAGATGTGGAGAACACATTTGAGCAGGTAGAGGCAGGAAAAAGCTCTCATCTGAGACACACGGTTGTGTTTTGTGATGGAGGTCTCATTTGTCAATGTTGTGAAGGAAGATAAGACCCGCTTTAAACTGACTAATCCTAGCCCACATGGAGTTAACAGATGTTCGGAAACATAAACTTTTTAACCTCTGCAGCCATTCTAAGACCAGCTTGGTCCCCTTTGGGTGCACTGTGCCAAAGGCTGGGAAAAGAGAGGGCTCTGCAGACCCGAGATGTCTCTCCTCCAGGCAGGGCCCATGTGGGAAAGCGTGTTTTCCATGGGTAGATGGCATCTGTGATACTCCTCATGTAAAGTTAGCAATGCTCCCTCCTTCATACCTGAGCAGGACTTCTGGGGCTAGGATCTGGACTCAGCAATTGAGCCCTGAGGCAAAGCTGCAAGTTTGGGGTACACTTACCTGCCAGGAGAACTTTGTCGGACACTTTTGAGGCTCTCTGTTTAAGAGGGGTGAGTGGCATAGAGCGAAGAGAAATTAATTTGTTTCCTTCTTCTCCTCTGCCTCCAGATAAAACCTCTGTACCAGCAGCTGCATGCCTACGTGAGGCACAAGCTAGAGGAGGTCTATGGCCCCGAGCTCATCAGCTCCACGGGATGCCTGCCTGCTCACTTGCTGGGTATGTCAATGCGGCCGTGTCATGCAAGCCTGACTTTGTACACAGGGCAGACCCCTTCAAGGCATAAGGGAAGAGAGTAATCTGCCTGTTTAATCAGGATATTAACAAACAGGTTGCAGATAAGAGAAAGGGAGAGGAGAAATGAAGTCCCTGGCATAGATGACACAGGTACTTAGCAGCAGTGGCAGGTAGGGAAGGCAGGTGTCCTCATCGTTGCTGGAGCTGGTAACTCTCAGCTCAAAACTCTAGCACTGGGCTGGGACATTTCCCTCCCCTCTGCAGTGCTTGTCTTACTTAGAAATGAGAGTTTCAGAGAGACCCATTTTCCCTTTTAAATCGTATTTTAAGGACTCGCATTTCCACAACTTTGCTTCCAAAGCACGAAGCATCAAGTTGCTGTAACTGTAATGTACCTGAACATGGCATCAACCATCACATGGACTAACAACATGAAGTTCAGTTGTGAACAGACCTTTAGGAAGGTGACCTGTCCTGAAACTGTATTTTAAAATAATAGCTGATTTTGTGGAATAAAAGGATCTTTGATCTGACTTTGACCTATGCATGACTTCCTAGAACTTCTGCCCTCCACAGCTGGATCAGACCTGTTTAGATGTACAGGACATCCATTTATGACACTGCACAATTTCTAGAACTGTCTGGCACTTCTGAACAATATATAACCAATCATTTAAATTATTTCTTTGTTTCTTTCTTTATTTGAAGGTGATATGTGGGGTAGATTTTGGACAAATCTGTATGCCTTGACAGTTCCCTATCCAGCCAAACCCAACATTGATGTAACTTCTACAATGGTTCAAAAGGTAGAGACGTACTTTTATGCAACATGAATTATGCAAGAAATATAGATGGAATAACAATTATACAGCAGATCTCAGCTGCTTTTTTAGAAAGCCATAGCTGCCCTAAGGCAAAACATTACTTTCAGCATCCTTTTTTGTTTGCTCTTCACCTTAATGTGTTCATGCACTGTACCTTTTCCCTTAGCTGTTCTCTCTTTCTTCTCCACTCTCTTTGACCGGCTTAATCTTGGCTCCACATCTATTTTCCTCAGAGACCTCCATCCATTAAGAGATGTATTTTGTACATATAAATATTTCAGAACTCATGGAGTTGGCTGGTTTCAAATATGACCTTTGCCAGCCATTACCATAATCAAATAGTTTGAGTATTGCAGATTGTGTTGTTGTTTTTTTCTCCCAGTCTTGTTTATTTGAATACAGCTAGGAAACTGCACTGCTGCCTGTTGTCTTTTGATAGCTGCATGGCACCATAAAGTCTGTGTTTGAGATCTGTGGTGCTAACAGCTGTGACGGCGCCTTTACCAAAAAGGGAACATGGATGAAGATTAACCTCTGTAGTCTTGACTAAGGACTAAGATTCACTCCTTTTACAAGATAAAAGAAGTGAAGCTCTGGTGGAATTTAATTTCTAAAATGTGATCATTCACCTGAAACCTACCTCCCTTTCAGTAGGAGCACTCCATGCAAAAGTTATGCTGGCAAGAGAAGGAATGGAGAAATTTGATTCATAAGCAGTTTGAACAAGTCTGCATCAATCTCACCTCTATTTTACAGTACTGACCCCTCTGTAGTCATAAATTTATGTATATTAAAGTACCACTGTAAGGAGGAAAGCATTATTTACAGAGCCTTGAGGCAAAGGCTGAACTCATCCTTGTTAGTGGATGTACCCAATTTAGGATTCTCATCCAATTGATCTGTCTGCCACCTAAATCACTCTGAAAACTCAGTCCAGTACATGCAGAGGTCCTCCTATGTAGAATAATAAACCTGCTGAATGACAAAAATGCTTTGAACATTACCATGCAGTTACAATCTGATAAGTCTTCTAGATGCATTTGCCAGGTTTTACGGTTCTGGCTGAGATCTCCTCTAATGCTCATATTCTGGGAATGCTGCCTCACTCTCTCAAATCAGTAGTCCCCAGCTGAAATGGCCAAAGGGTTGCATCCCAGATTTGACATGTTACTGAGAGGAATGTCTTTTTTATGTGCACTGCCTTATCTTTGGTTGAGGGCTTCTCTGGTCTGGGTCAGGTGCTGTCTGCTGAACCTCTGAGTGAAGAAATCTGTTTTGTTTGTGGAGAAAACACTTAATTCCAGTTACCAGCAGAATTTACAGAAATGCCAAAGGCAAACAGTACCATCTTACTCCCAGAAAATGAGGTGCTGAAGTTCATAGGAGATAAATATGAAGTCAGCTGCCCTGTGTTAAGCCAACCACAGGGAACAGGCTCTGTGGGAAGCAATGGTTAATGGTGGTATTGTCTCCCTCAGCAGTGGGATGCAATGAGAATATTTAAAGCTGCTGAGGCCTTCTTCACTTCCATTGGCCTCGACGAAATGACTGAGGGCTTCTGGAATAACTCTATGCTCACAGAGCCAGCAGACAACAGGAAAGTTGTTTGCCATCCTACAGCATGGGATCTGGGGAAAAATGACTACAGGTACTGTGATTACTATAACCTCTTTTTATACCATCTCGTAAGACATTCATATTTTCACTAATGGTACACCATACTGGTATAAGTTATATTTTTCATTATTAATAACTTTCTTCTAGATGATAAAATGGAAAAGGAAGACAAAAAAGCAGGCATTCCTGTGGGACTGTAAACCTTTCTGTATAACTTTTTCTATGAAGATCTAATGACTACTCTCAAATTTATATGAATTACAGAAATGGCTATGTTCTAGAGCTTAAGGAATAAGCATAAACACTGGTGTTTGTGGATATCAGTGAGATTTGGGGACACTTGCCCATTCAGCAGCAATGGGACAGGGTTCCTAAACAGCAAGTGAAAACCTGAGAGCCCACCATCTTCTTTAGCAGATATATCCAGTTTTGTGAAAATCCAACAACATCTTCCATATTTGGAAAAGGAGAGGGACAGCAAATTCCCACACAGGGAAGTCTCCTGGGGCAAATTCTGTGCCCTCTTGCAGTCCCTGCGGTTACCTGGGGAAAGGGGCTGGTCCCCAGCAGAGCCTTAGTGAAAGCTGCCAGCCTCACACCTCACCAGTTGAGGAAGCTGAAAGGAAACACTATTTGGAAGAAATTCCATTATTTAATAGTGCCAATGGGAGGCTGAAGTAGCCAGAGTCAGCGGCACACAGGTTTTTTACACTACTCTCTTCCTAAGCTTGATGGTGGGTACTCGCTCTAACACAGTGAGTTTATTGCCAAGTTTCAGAGTGCATCTGCTTCTCACAAAACAATTATTTTCTCTTACCACCAGCACAACTTCCAGGTGGGTGAAAGTGTTCTGCTGAATTCCCCATCCAAGTATAGCTCTTGCAGGAGAAACTGCATCCCATGCTAAGATGTGTCTGCCCAGGCTTTGTAAGGGGCAAAGGGTGTTTGCAAGCTCTGGAGGCTGCTTTGTAGAAAGGGCTTGGGCAGCAGCTGTCTGGACCACTGTCCCTCTAACCACAGACATGTTGCTCTGGTGTGCAGGATCAAGATGTGCACCAAAGTGACCATGGACGACTTCTTGACTGCTCACCATGAGATGGGCCACATTGAGTATGACATGGCATACTCTGTGCAGCCCTACCTGCTAAGGGACGGTGCCAATGAGGGCTTCCATGAAGCAGTGGGTGAAATTATGTCACTTTCTGCAGCCACCCCTCAGCACTTGAAATCTCTTGACCTCCTAGAGCAAACTTTCCAAGAGGATGAAGGTAAATACATACATATGCTTATGTGAAAACACTTGCAGGTCTTATTTTGTAGCAGAAGATTATGTCTGCAAACTGAGTGAGCAGCTGAGAGGCTTCTGAAAGTCTTACCCACTAACTTACCAGAAATACCTTTTTTTTTTCCCAGATCATATCATGAAGCAAGGGTCACTACTTTATAATGCTGCTACATAATTTAGAAATGAATAGCTAGCACTTCATTATCTTCTGTACTGAACAACTTATTTCCAAATCTTCGTTGTTCATTTAGATGAGACTCCAATAGTCTTTTCCATTTCTGTTGCACAAATCTGTACATATTTCTACCAAGTATGTACTTAGCAGTTCAAATGAAACTGAAACCTTGAGATTTCCATCTCCTACTTAAGTGAATATTGAGCGGACAATGTAGTTAGGCCTTCATTATAATGCATTTTGTCTGGCTTCTCTGAGTATTACCTTATAAAGATGGAGATGTACACTTTGTACATTCTGAGATGTCTTCAACTTGATATTCACCAGAGCCTGGGAAGATTTCCAGTGGTATATAATGAAACATAAATGCCAAAGTACTAGGTTATTTATGGAGGGGGCACGGGGGGGAGGGAGGGGGGAAAAGAGACAAAATTGTATACAATACCTAAGTGATCTTTTCTCATGTTGCTTTTTTCAGTAGTATTCACTTTTTCTTTAGTGAAAATTTGTAATTCAAACCAGGTGCAAGCTTAGCTGTAAAAGGAAGCAACTTTAGCTGTGTAATCAGATACTAATTGCTGCCATAACCATTACCTTAACTACTTCTCTCTTCAGAAACGGAAATCAACTTTCTGCTCAAACAAGCACTAACGATTGTTGGAACAATGCCTTTTACTTACATGCTGGAGAAGTGGAGGTGGATGGTGTTTAGCGGTGAGATTACAAAGCAGGAATGGACAAAGCGGTGGTGGGAGATGAAGTAAGTCTGGGAAACAAAAGCGATTTTTTGCAAATGAACCTGCAAAACCAGCCCTTCATAGTTACTCAGTGCAATGAAGTGCCTGTGCCTCGACAGGGCAGGATCTGTCTCAGGCTCTTTCTACATTGCCTGGTAGAATACCAGCTACAAATGCTCAGTGTGGTATAGACAACATCTCACAAGCAATGTGTCCCTATTAGCACTGTGTATAGCCCCCAGCAGTGTACCCTGCCTCTCATCAGACTTTCCCCTCATTTCTAATGTCAGCTCCTCTGATAAAGACAGCCCATGGCCTTCACATGGGATGTTCCAGATCCCAGGATTGACCCTGCCATTTCCTTGACACACACCCCAAGACATCTTCATCACTTAGGTATAGCCCTCTCCTAAGTCTTTTCAGACATAAACTCTGGTTTGCTTCCTACTGCCTTAAGGACAAATGGAAAGTGAAGTTCATCATGCTTGCCAGCCCAAGAAGCATAGGGACCTCAGTTTACCAAGTATCTGTGCACTCTTATCTCCCCCTTCTCATGTGGTTTTGGAGGCAAATTGTCTGAAAGACTCCAGACTGATCCTTTACTTTCCTATGGAGATACCACTTTTCTTAATCAAGGAAATACAGTTCCCTTGGCAAGTAGTGTCCAGAGGTGTCTTTCCAGATAATGCCCACCAGCCAGCCTATTTTCAGCACCCTGGAGCTCAAGATTAAAAAGCAGTTTGATTCAAACTGGAGACTGTAATTTCCCAGGTTTGTTAACATAGGGCAGAAAAATGCAAAGAAACCTAACAAGCCCGCATGGATAATGGAGTCTGAAATCTTAACATGACCACAGAGAGCCTCCATCAGCAAACAAAATCTGTAACAAAATTTGATATAAGCAAACTTCCTGACCCACTGTAAAAATCAATCAGCTTCAATTTATTCAAAAGTAGCAGAGATGTCAGAAAATTGAGAATGACAAATTGTTCAGGGAAGCTTATCACATCTGTTGTAGCAGCACCACAAATCTCTCTGCTGGAGCAAGACCTTGAAGTGCAGGTTTACGGAAAATATTTCCATGGGACCTTATTACCATTTTCAGAATTTAGGGAATGGGCTTGTTTCCATGAATCACACCCTCAGGAGAGGAAAATAAAGAGAAATTTAATCTCCAGCCTAGTGGCACAACAGGCCATACAGCACAAAAAGCACAAGTGTTAGACTCCAAATTGGGGATGGCCGAGGGCATGAGGTATACACATGAAGCTTATGTCTTGTAGATTATTTCATTCCATAATTATTCCCTTCACACTCTGCTGTCACACAAATCCCTTCCTTGCACTATCAGTTTCAAAGCAGCTTCTTCTCTGTGGTCTCCAGCTGTGGAGCAGTACTCATCTGGGGCTATGGACTTAGAATCATAGAATAGTTAGGGTTGGAAAGGACCTTAAGATCATCAAGTTCCAACACCTCTGCCATGGGCAGAGGCAGATAGCAGGCTATGGGTGCAGCCTGGTCTCCAACATGGGCAGGGACACCACACACTAAACCATGTCACCCAAGGCTCTGTCCAACCTGGCCTTGAACACCACCAGGGGTGAAGCATTCACAATCTTCCTGGGCAACCCATTCCAGTGCCTCACCACCCTAACAGGAAAGAAATTCTTCATTATATCCAATCTAAATTTCCCCTGTTTAAGTTTTAACCCATTACCCCTTGTCCTATCACTACAGTCCCTAATGAAGAGTCCCTCCCCAGCATCCCTATAGCCCCCCTTCAGATACTGGAAGCCTGCTATGAGGTCTTCACGCAGCCTTCTCTGCACCAGGCTGAACAGCCCCAACTTTCTCAGCCTGTCTTCATATGGGAGGTGATCCAGTCCTCTGATCACCTTCCTCATGGCCCTCCTCTGGACTTGTTCCAACAGTTCCATGTCCTTTTTATGTTGAGGACACCAGAACTGCACACAATACTCCAAGTGAGGTCTCACGAGAGCAGAGTAAAGGGGCAGGATCACCTCCTTTGACCTGCTGGTCATGGTCCTTTTGATGCAGCTCCGGATACGGTTGGCTTTCTGGGCTGCAAGTGCACACTGAAGCTGGCTTATGTTCATTTTCTCATCGACCAGCACCCCCAAGTTCTTCTCTGAAGGGCTGCTCTGAATCTGTTCTCTGCCCAGGCTGTAGCTGTGCCTGGGATTGCTCAAACCCAGGTGTAGGACCTTGCACTTGTCATGGTTAAACTTCATGAGGTTGGCATCAGCCCACCTCACAAGTGTGTCGAGGTCCCTCTGGATGGCATTCCTTCCCTCCAGCATATCAACTGAACCACACAGCTTGGTGTCATCAGCAGACTTGCTGAGGGAGCACTCAATCCCACTGTCCATGTCACTGACAAAGATGTGGAACAAGTCCAATCCCAACACTGATCCCTGAGGGACACCACTTGTTACTGGTCTCCAGCCGGACATTGAGCCATTGACCAAAACTCTTTGTGTGTGGCCATCCAGCCAATTCTTTATCCACCGAGTGGTCCATCCATCAAATTGATGTCTCTCCAATTTAGAGACAAGGATGTCATGTGGGACAGTGTCGAACGCTTTGGACAAGTCCAGGTAGATGACGTCAACTGCCTTGTCCCTGTCCATCAGTTTCGTAGCCCCATCATAGAAGGCCACCAAATTGGTCAGGCAGAATTTCCCCTTAGTGAAGCCATGCTGGCTGTCACCAAGCACCTTGTTGTTTTTCATGTGCCTTAGCATGCCTTCCAGGAGAATCTGCTCCAAAATTTTGCCAGGCACAGAGAGAGACTGACTGCTCTGTAGTTCCCTGGATCATCCATTTTCCCCTTCTTTAAATGGGGGTTATATTTCCCTTTTTCCAGTTGCCGGGAACTTCACCTGACTGCCATAATTTTTCAAATAAGATGGCCAGTGGCTTAGCATCTTCATTTGCCTGCTCCTCTGGACCTGCGGATGGATTTCATCAGGTCCCATGGACTTGTGCACATTCATATTCTTAAGATGGTCTCGAGCCAGATCCTCTCCTACAGTGGGCCTGAGGTCTTCATTCTCACAGTCCCTGCATCTGCCTTCCAAGACTTGGGAGGTGGGGTCTGAGCATTTGCCAGTGAAGACCAAGGCAAAGGAGTCATTGAGAACCTCAGCCTTCTCCAAATCCAAGGTAGCCTGTTGTCCTGATAGATTCCAGAGGGGGCCCACGCTGTCCCATGTCTGTCTTTTATTCGGTACATACTTACAGAATCCCTTCCTGTTATCCTTAACATCCCTAGCCAAGTTTAATTCTAATTGGACCTTAGCTTTCCTAACCTGGTCCCTAGCTTCCCAGACAACATCCCTGTACTCTTCCCAGGCCACCTGTCTTTGCTTCCACCTTTTATAAGCCTCCTTTTTCCCTCTAAGTTTCCTCATCAGCTCCTTATCCATTCAAGGAGGTCTCCTGGCCCTCCTGCTGCACTTCCTTCTAATTGGGATGCAACACTCCTGAGCCTGGAGCAGGTGATCTTTGAATATCAGCCAACAGTCTTGACCCCCCCTGCCCTCTAGGGCTATATCCCATGAAACCTTACTAAGCAGGTTCCTGAAGAGGCCAAAGTCTGCTCTCTTGCAGTCTAGGGCAGTGAGCTTGCTGCATGCTCTTCTCACTGTCCTGAGGATCTCGAGCTCGACCATCTCATGATTGCTGTAACCAAGGCTGCCCTGGAGAGTCACATTTCCAACGATCCCTTCCCTGTTGGTGAGCACAAGGTCAAGCATGGCACCTCTCCTTGTTGGCTCCTCTATTACTTGCAGAGGGAAGTTGTCTTCTACACAATTGAGGAACCTCCTGGATTGCTTGTGCCAGGCTGTACCATCTCTCCAACAGATATCAGGGTGGTTGAAGTCCACCATGAGGACAAGGGCCTGCGAGCGTGAGGCTGTTCCTTTCTGTCTGTAGAGTGCTTCATTCACAGATTCCTCTTGATCAGGTGGTCTGTAATAGATCCCCACAGTAATGTCTCCCATTGCTGTTCTCCCTTTAACCCTGACCCACAAACTTTCTGTTAACTGGTCACCTGTCCCCAGACAGAGTTCCATACTCTTCAGCCTACCCCTAACATAAAGGGCAACTCCCCCTCCCTGTCTGCCGGGCCTGTCTTTTCTAAAGAGTCTGTAATCTTCCATTCCAACACTTCAGTCACAGGAGCCATCCCACCAGGTTTCTGTGATGTTATACCATACCCCCATACACGTGCACACATCTCTAATTCCTCTTGTTTGTTCCCCATGCTATGGGTGTTTGTATAGAGGCATCTGAACTGAGCTCCAAATGAAGCCAGCTTATTGGCTGCAGTGCCTGGAATATCTCTACATTGCTCCGAGCATTTATTATAGGTGATGGCAACTGACTGGGTGTGTTGGGATGGAGTGATGACCCCCTTCCCCAACACATCTAGTTTAATACTTTCTTGACCAGCCTGACAAATCTACCAAAAGCACGACCAGCTCCACCAGCCTCCAGTAGACCTGGCCTCTCAAATCTAATCCCATGTTCTAAATACCCAAACCCCTGACTATGGCACCACTGTTCTAACCATTTATTAACCTGCCAAACCCATCTACCCTTCTTAAGATCCTCCCCTTTGGCCTGCAGGATTGATGAAAAACCTATCTGAGCCCCAGAGCCCTTAACCACCTCTCCCAGGGCTCTGTAGTCCTCCTTAATGCTCTCCGGGCTACTGCTATCTGTATCACTAGCACCTACATGGATCGCGAAGTGGGTAATAGTGGGACTTACTAGACCAGGCAGCCTCTCTGCAACACCCCTGATCTGAGCCCCTGGTAGGCTACACACATCCCTTGAGACTGGGTCAGGCCGACAGGTGGTTGCCTCTGTGCCTGTCCAGAGTTCCCTACTATTATGACCCACCGCTTTTTCCTGATGACACCAGTAGTGATCCTCTTTACTGGTGCATCAGCTGGTTGTTCATGTGGTGAGGTGTGTGTTTCCTCATTAGCCCCCTGCAGAACTGTGAAGCAGTTCTGGGTGGGGACATCAGATTTAGGAAGAAGCCCCTTGCTTTTAATTGTCCTCTTCCTCCTTTTTTTTTGTTGGCTTTTTTTTACTTCTGTTTGGACGTGAAAGAGGTGTCCATATGTATCTGAAAATATAGAGGAAGAGCAGAGTCAGGTCTCCTCCCCCCTTATTATCCTACTAACAGAAATCCTGTGTTTTTTCTTCATCCCAGGAGAGAAATAGTTGGTGTTGTTGAACCAGTCCCTCATGATGAAACCTATTGTGACCCTGCAGTGCTGTTTCATGTGGCTAACGATTACTCGTTCATAAGGTAGCTCAGTGTTTAATTAATGCTTTACATTTTGGGTACAGAACAAGCCCTGACTACCTAAAACATCCGGTGGGGAGTCTCAGGACACAATCTCACTTGCTTTAAAGTCCTGATCAGGTCACTGATTTCAGTGGAAGTTTTTCCGTGAACACCAGGGGCTGCTGCATAGCAATGTCTAAGCAGTGAGGAGGCTGCTGAGCTTCTTGTGGAGCAGAGAAGCTTTGTGCTATCATCAAACCATTGGGAGCACATCTGCAGGAAGTGCTTACCTTCTGAGGAGAAAGTGTACCCTTTACCACTGTCACTTGGGGTATGCACATGCAGCCCTGAAGAAACTAACTCTGATGTCCCTCTATCCCCCAGCCATCTCATTTCAGAATGCTCAACTGGAGCAGAGAGTTGGACCTTAAAAACCTTACTTGCTCCTGGTTTATGTGGCAGCAAACAGATCTGGGAGTCTTCTGCTGCATCTGATCTTGGCATTTTGTTAGATCTGAGTTAGCATAGCCTATAAATATCAGCAGGAGCACCAGCTGACATAGCAGAGCTCTCCAAAGGCAAAGGGCTTACAGGTTTCCTTGCCAGATGACTAACGAAAACTGTGCCTTCCTTATCCCTTCCTTTAGGTATTACACCCGGACCATCTATCAGTTCCAGTTTCAGGAGGCACTTTGCAAAGCAGCTAACCATACTGGCCCTCTTCACACATGTGACATTACCAACTCCAGAGCAGCTGGTCAGAAGCTGAGGTAACAAAACAAATTTCTCACACATAATAAATCAGAGTATAATGAAGCCTAATTCATCCTTGAAAGCTTCTGGAGTCAATGAACATAGAATGAACCTAGCTTAAAAATTTAGCATTTATCTACTCAGTTTATTTTGATAAGTTAACTAAGTTTATATCCACTGAGGATCTAAACATCAAAGGTTTAATTGCCCATTAATGGGAAAATAATTTATTTTTATTAATAGGAGTGATGGGAGGAAAGGGGGAATTCAGAAGCAAAAAGAAAATTTTGATACTGCTCTCAGATTGTTTTGCTAGATGGCTGGATGGAACATAGCAGTAACATATACTACCTCTCCTTCCATGTACACAGACAATTGCTTGAATTAGGTAGATCCAAGCCCTGGACTCAGGCACTGGAAAGCGTAACAGGAGAGAAATACATGAATGCATCACCCTTGCTCCAGTACTTTGAACCTTTATATAACTGGCTGCAAAAAAACAACGCTGGCAGATACATTGGTTGGAAAACAGACTGGGCTCCATGTATGTATGGCTTGTGGGTGGATTTAGGGCCATGCAGTAGTCCTCACAACTCTTGATCAGCAAATTCCCTGTCTTCTCAGCTATTGAAGGCTCTTCTTCCTAGGGAAGCAGGGTTTTGGGAAATATACACTGAGCATTAAGTTTCACTCATGGGAAGGCAGTCCGACTTCCTCATGGCCAAAGCTGGAGAAATTGGCATACATGAGGTTTGTCACAGCTTCATCAGTTTTCAGAAATAGTTTATGTTATTCAGTAGTGGCAGCACTAAGAATGTGGGATGGCTGTGCAGAGGGAAGAAAGACCAGAGGCTTGGACTTGTTTGGTGCTTGCCTGGGAGTAGTGTGACTGTTCTGCAGGGCTGGGAGCCACCAGTCCTGGGAAACAGAGGACCCTGAGCTGGGGGCACAAGGGAAAACCAGTACAAAAAAATTACTGCTATTTTTTTATTTACTATCATGTGCTAATCAAAGAAGGGAGCTCAAGGGGAGGAATCGCATATTTCAGCCTATTGTGATGACATTGTACCACCCAGGTTATATACGTGTAATCACTGTCAGTACTGGAGCATACCATAACACAGTGATGTGCCTAATGGTGGGATTTATCTAACCAGACAAACAGAAACCAATATTTGCATCTGAGCTGCTCATTCCCAGTGGTGGGAAAGAGGCACTTTCTTTGGGAGATGTTTAAAGAAGACCAGAGGACTGCGCTCTAGATGTGCTTACTCTTGACTACTACAAAGCCAAACTTGGGTGACTGACAGCTCAGATGTGGATGTTGGAGTAAAGGTGGCTGAAGGGAAACAAGATCAATCCCACCAAGCTGGCCATTTGGAGCAGGGGAACCTATAAGGAAACTCTAGTCCCCCCAGTATTTCCCATGGACAGACTTTCTGTCACTACAGTTGTGACACAGCCCTTGTTTCTCTTTAAACCAGATTCCAACAATGCCATCAAAGTACGCATCAGCCTGAAGTCAGCACTGGGAGACCAGGCGGTAAGTGTGCTCTCGCTGTGGCACTCTTCGCATTGCCTAGGCAACAGAGATGTTGTGCTAATGGTTCTCAGAAAATAAAGCAGGGTATAGCTGGTCTTTGCATCTGAAGAGTGGCATCAGCTCAGGTGAAGGGTTATCACATAAAAGATGTCTTGTCTGACTTTGTGCTCAAGACTCCCACTACAGTTGGTGGAGGGACCTCTCCAGGGAGTGATCCTACTCATTTTAGACAAACATCTCAGCTAGATTAGTTGAGTTATTCTGTGGAAATACTTCTCCTTTTTTACCTGTTACAGGACATGCCTGGAGGGTAGTGTAGGGGAAACCGTGTACCTGAAAATGACTGTATTTTTCCCAGCTATGCTGGTGTGTCTAAACAAAGCCTCTATCTAATTTCCTCTGACTTCTTTTATGAATGCTTCAGTGGCTGTGTTCAGAAATTGCTATTAGAGCAACTACTTCACATTTGAATGTAGGGCTTAACACAGAGAAGCTGAATTCCACTAGCTAATCTCAAATGCTCTTGATTTCATGCTGAAACCCTTCTGTCAGCATTCCTTTGTAGATTTTTGTTTGCCTGTTTGCTGTAATCTTTCCAGGCCCTGATATATTTGGCTGCCTCCCTGCCCTCCAACTCTTACGCAGAGACAGCTTTGTTATTAAGATTGTGGGGGGCAGCACAGCTGCTTCTGTTTCAGACAAGAAGGGCTTTCATTCCCAAGAGCTTGTCTACTTTCCCTGGTTATACCAGCTGGTCCAATAAAATGTATTACAGCAACTGGAAAAGCTCATCAAAGCCAAAGATGGCTTTTATGATTTTAAACAGAGCATTGTCTTAGCCCAGTTGCTAAACCCAGGCTGAAAATTTGCTCCCTGCTCTGGCTGTGCCTCTTTATGTTAATCTCACAGAGGCAACATAGGAGGCTTAAGTGCAGACACTTCACTCCTGTCAATAGCCATTTTCACCTTGCAGAACATTAGCGATTTTCCAGGAGTGAGTATGTCATCAGGCAAGTCATTTAGACCGGCATGGTGGAGCCTATTGGACTACCAAGGACACAATACCATGGACTCATTTTTCATATGAATGGATGCTTTTGCTTCTATTGCTGCCTCACATGCAAACACCACTGGAGTTTTATTGCTTCCTAGATCACTGAGTAGAGTTAGATACAATTTTAAACTGATATCAGGAGCATGAAAAGGTTCCATATTACAACACATTTATTAGTCATTATGGTTAATGTTTAGCTTAATACCAGTTTTATGCCTGCTTTTTGCCACCATAGTCTTTTGTTGTACAATTGAGCAGCTGTAAAATAATCTCATGCAGATTACTCAATTTGAACTATTGTATGGACAGTAGGTTCCTAAACTCTGAAGAGCAAGCCATGCATTTTCCTCTCAAAACCAGTCCACATTACTAACTTTCAAGAAACCTTTTTTGTACAGAGCTTTCTGCCTCCCCACAAATTTCTCTTATGCTGAGCTCCCAGGCACATCACTCTGTATATTTGTATGCCAGCAGCGGGTAATGGTACATGCAAGAACCGGCATAGAGAAAAGGCAGGGAGAACTTCAGGCAGGAATCTCAGCCCAGCTGCACAAAGCAATATGTTTTGGCAGCTTTACACACCCCAGAGCGTACAGAAGCCGAGATCCTGATGCAACTGCTTGTTTAAGATGTATTTTGAGCTGCTTTGCACCAGTATGACAGCAGAAAACTGTCTGAGTATGCCAGCAAATCTTTTAGTATTTCTGCTTTTTAGCACTGAGTTGAACAGAAAGTGAAAGATCCCCCCTCCCAGCAGAGGGAGAGCTGCACTGGGGCAGCTGCAGCTCATGCAGGCAGTCCTGCACCCCACAACTACATACCCTGGCTATTACCAGCAGGGATGTTTCAGTAGGCCGAAGTTATGCAAATTAAACTTCCTGACTGAGGGATGGGTTTACACCAGCTGTACTAGAGTGTGTGCTACTGCAATTACCCTGCTAATTGTTTTCAGGCTGATGAGATTAAAGCTGCAGCCTAGCCTTGCTGGATCATCAGTGAGGCTGAAACACCCACAGCTTTTGCTTCAGCTGGCGCTTTATGAAAAGTGCCCTTCCAAGGGAAACTGCTACAAGACCGCTGCTGAATCACATGGGGTCTGTCTTATTTAAATTAAAGGGTTCCAGAGTGTCAGTCCCCTGAGCACAACTTGACAACATGACCCCTTTTCAAACATTGATTCAAGATTCTCCACTGGGTCAATGTCAGACATCTGATTACAGTGTAAAAAGGTGTCACACAAGACAGCGTTAGGGAATGGGGAGCTATCAGCCTGCGGGCATTTTGACATATTTTACAATGGAAAATGCGTTTTGAATCAGAGGCCAGACTTACAGTCTTTTAAGTCACACATGGGATCTTGGAGGGAACAGGGTATAATAGAGTAGAGGCACTTAGCAAAGTTCATTTTGCTCTGAAAGCAAAGCAGCCTCTGTAATGAATAGCAAGCACCAAGGTAGGTTTCTGAGATGCTTATTAGAGGGGTGTGGGTACTCATTACTCAAACACAGATCAGAAGCCAGACAGGTGCTTCCCATCCACACAACCAGTAATGGTATTTATAAAGGCACTTGAGAGGCATAGTGGCAATTAAAATACATTAGAGTAAAAAAAATATATATATATTATGGAAATGAATAAATAATTAAAAAGCTAAAATGCTAAGTACAGAAAGCAGCAAGAAGGCAGCAGTAGAGGAATGAAGCTCAATTAGCTCCTGGTTTAAGAAAAAAAAAAAAAAGCACTGCAGTCTAAAGATGTTGGGGGTAAATGAAAAATTGAGAAACTCCCACAGCAGCATCCTAGGCTGCAATGGTGAACACTGCCAGCTGCTGGAGATAACCGCGGTAACAGCAAGTGCTTCAGCACACGGATTTGCCTGCCTCTCAGCAAACAGGAGAAAGCCACAGGCATTCGCCAAGGCGATTCATAGCTTCAACCTTTGCTGATGGAAACACCCAGAGCTGGCACAGCCCTTGCCCTCCACTCTCTAATGAGGCTGCTCTGCTAGCGGTGGCTTTGGGACACCACTGTATTCCGGGGGCCTGATCCTGCACAAATTGAGAACAGCAGGCTCTTTCTACTTTTTCCTCCCTTGTATGTCTCCTTCTTCATTTTATGTCAGTGTTAAGAGGATGACAAGGTTGAAATATGGGTTTTATAAAAACTGTTACAACAGAGCTGCCTTCAACCACACCTTCCAGAATGATACTTGAAAAAGTCAGGAGCTGTGTAAAACTATCACTGACAACATTTATAGGCATTCCTGCTCAGGTACCATAAACACTATCAAATCTAGGCAAATCTAGGGGGCTAAAAAAAAATGTTACAGAGTTCAGACAGGAATTTTCCCTTTGCGCACACAGTGTTGCACAACAGAGAAGGCTTCATTATCAGCTCCTGTGATGGTTTTTGTCCTGTGTACAGCTCTCAGTTCCTGGCCCTGAGAAGCTGTTTTTGATTTCCACTGCAAATAACTTTGGACTTATAAGGCAGGTCAGGATGAGTCTGCACACAGGCAGTGCATTGTTTTATATCCCTTCTCTATTTGTCAGGGTAAAACAGCAATTATATGCCTGTTTCAGAAATACTGATGAAAAGAGTTTTTATTGAAATAAACCAAACCCCAAATAAAAATCCCAGCTCACCAGACAAATAAATAAGCCACCTTCACATAAAAATCCCACCCCAAAGTTTCTCCTCAAAAGACTAGGTCTGCAAATAAAATGATGAGCTGGGACTGCAGCACCTTCACGACCTCATGTAAAGGTACCAGAAACTGCAGAGGAGCAGCCTGATGCAGTGTTTGGCAGCAGGGCTGCCTGCATGTTTATCCTCCTGCAAAACACTCAGATTAACAGAGCTAAAAGGTTTGAGTAGGTTCCTGAAGTGCTATCATGGCGCAAATAAATAATACTGAAGTGCATGCCAAGCATTACAATTGCTATTTCTTTTTAGAATGATTTCTTGGTGTCAGGTAACTTGCCATCTCATGAATTTTGCTTGTGCTGTTTCTGCAGTATGAATGGGATGAAAGCGAGCTCTTCCTCTTCAAGTCATCCATCGCCTATGCCATGAGAAAATACTTTACAGAGGTGAAGCAACAGGAAGTTAACTTCCAGTGAGTGACTCGCTTAATTGTGCCAGCTATGTCTATATTGGTTCTGGTTTGCTAGCAGCATGAATTGGTGGAATTAATTGTGCCTTCTGTCAAATGTAAGGTGATAGCAAACAGTGTTAAACATCAGCTGGTTGCAAAAGGTAAAATGCCAGCTTGGTTACATGCTGTCTTTTCACTCAAGAGTCTGCAGTTTGGGAAAAATGTGCAAAGGTTAGTTCACTTCAGTGGATGTAGAAGGCTTTGCCTCCCACAGGTTATCAGTGGTTGAAGTGAGCCTTGAGAATTTGACACCTATATGGGAATATCAGGGAAGATGCATTTATGACAATGTGTGTGTATGATACTGAATATACAAGAGGTTTTGGGCCAAGGAAAGATTTGTTGATTACAAACCACTAGAATTCTGTGCAGACTTACTAATCTTATCTAGGTTCACTTACACATAAAATCTATTATCTGAAATTGATTCTGATAGGAAAACAACCCTTTTTATTAGGTCTCTCAAAATTTTTTCAGGCTATCCACTTAAGCTCTTTGATGCTACATTACAGAATATCAGCCATGTAGTATCTAGGATCTATGACCAGCAGGATATAAGGAAAAATGGTTAGGTACTTCGTACATCACCTCATTCACAAGACTTGCCTTGAACACTTCTGCAGCTGATTATGTGCTTTGGAAAAGGTACAGGGTAGAATTTCTCCATCTGAGTAAAGAAATAGCACATAGAAAAAGAAATTCTGTGAGGAAATTTATTTCAGTTCCCAGTTGAGGTCACTAGGAAGCATTCACTTAAATAACCGAAATTCACTTAAATAAACCAACCCCCTGTCATTGCCCATCACATCTGTTCACTCACCCAAATTTAAAACCAATTTTGTCTCAGCAATTAAAAAAAAATCTTTTTCTTCTGTTTCTTATTCAGAACTACAGACATTCATGTTGGGGAACAGACAAAAAGGATCTCCTTCTACCTTACTGTTAGCATGCCAGGCAATATCAGTGATATTGTGCCCAAATCTGATGTGGAAAATGCCATCAGGTGAGATTTTGCTCTCTGGGGAAAGAAAAAACCTCATCAGTCAAACAACCAGGTGAAAGGGTGGAAAGGAAAGCAATGCTCACATCAGCTGAAGCAGAAGGAGTGATAAGAAAGTCATTTATGCAGTTAGCAGAAATAGTGGGATGTGAGAAACTGTTATGACAGAAAGAAAACAGTCTATCTATCTGGTGCTGTCTTGGACAACCGCCAATGTAAAATGCTTCAACATGCTTGTAACTGCTGTAACACACCTAATTGCATCATACTTTGCCAGAAAAATATCATTGCTTGAACTTTAACAGGATCTTATATTCTGAAATACAGAGCACTGTAACTGTGTGTGAATGCATGTGTGTTTTCTCCTAAGTGAAAATTCAGTGGAAGATTTATTGTCAGCAAGGACTCCAGAACAATGATGTATTAGAAAGATAGCCAGATGTATTCAATTATACAGAAAAGAAGAGGTCAGAACAGGAGATTGTTCCTACTTATGGATCAATGAAGAGCTCCTTATAGCACAGTATGACACTACTGTAAGTCACTTTTGTAAAAATGATAAGTAAAACTGCAATTCTGCAGTTGGTCACAGGTAATGTACAGTGGGAAATGAAGAGGGCACAAATCTAAAAGCAGCAGCAGTATTAGATGGGGTTGAAAAAGCAGTGACATAAGTTGGTGAACCAGGGGAGAAGAATATGGCTATGATAGTCACTGTCTGGTTAGCACTCAATAGCAGAAGTTCAGGGAAAAACAAAGCACAGAAAATACACCGGAGAAAGGGTTTTCAGGGCAGTGAAAAACACAAGAATAAAAACTATGGAACACTGTAGGAGGTCTTCTGTGGTTTTCTTCAAAGCTGTGGTTTTCTATCACACATTGAAGAAACTTATGGATAGCTAAGACACTTAAGGTGAAGAGAATCGTGGGAGAAATGCAAATAGAGAGGGAGGTCAGAAGGCTGTTTGCCTCATTTTTGTAAATGTTAAGACTGAGGTTAAGAGTTCATTCAGTGTCTGAACATGCCAGTTAAGCTGCAACACATTAAGAGCTTAAGTTACTGTGGCTGTCACTCAGGGACCCATACCAGAAGGAACATGGGCTTAGCAGTAACTCTGTTGCAGCCTTTCCAACTGAGCAGTCCAGGGGAAGCTGACACTGGAGATTTATAAAACAACTGAAAACTGTTTGTATGCTTTCAATAAACATGCAAAACTCTTTGAATTTGCTCTCAATGGCAGGATGTCTCGGGGACGAATCAATGAGGCTTTCAGACTGGATGATAACACGCTGGAGTTTGTGGGCATACTTCCAACCTTGGCCACACCTTATGAACCACCGGTCACCATCTGGTTAATTATATTTGGGGTGGTCATTAGCCTGGTTGTCATTGGAGTTATTGTCTTGATCATCACTGGTCACAGAGATCGCAAGAAGTGAGTAGTATTTTTGATACTACGATCATGAACACTGGAAGATGTCCTGATGACTGAATCGCCAGGGTGCTCACAAATAGGCTGCCAAATCTAACTGAAGCAAGTCAAGGAATTACTGCTTATAATTCCCCTCCCACCAACAGTGATAGCTAAAGGTTCAGCTCCCTGCCTTTCAGTGCACAACAAATTTGGCAGCTTAGTGCAATTTGCCCATCATTATCACAGCTGGAAGCTGTGGCTACAGGGAGCTGTGAGGGGCTAGGCTTCTGCCAGCCTCACTGCAAGATTGATGGAGTGGCCTGCTGGGAACACAGTGCCTTCTCCAAGAGCAGAGTTGCCCACATTCATCACCACTGGCAGTTTTCAGTAATATTGTTGGAGGCTGTCCAGTAATGTAATGTTCCTTAAATACTGCATTAACAGCAATATAGCTGGGTTGGTTTCATATGTGCCTTCTTTAATGGTGTTTCTAAGAATGTAGTAGGTTTGCTACAGTTCTCTTAAAACAAACACAACTCCTTTTATATAAAGATTCCTGTTTAAACACAGTATTATTTACAGTAGGGGATTCTGGGGATCCAGAAGAACTTGAACAGAACAGAGGCTTCTAATAAAAAACTGCATTTTCATTACAGGAAAGAAAGGAGAGGTGAAGCAGGATCAAACTGTCAAGAGGTGAACCCTTATGCTGAAGAAGGAAAAAGCAACATGGGTTTTGAGCCATCTGAAGAGACACAAACGTCATTCTAGAAGACGTGGGTACACTAAGGTTTTGTGGGATTTTTCATCTCACTTTTAGCAGTACTGCCTAGCAAGGACCAAAATACTATGGATGTCATAGTGTTTTGCATAGTATCTTCTGGTTGACCATTAACTTACTGGTCCATAGACAACATCAGCTACATCTGTCATTTATGTGGTAACTAGAAAAAAATGCAAAAATTGAAGATACATATGTCCTGTGGCTTCTCTATGAATTATGCACATAATGTTATACACTGTTGCTTTCCATAAGTGTGCTGTATCCAACTTCTTTTTGCTTCTTCTATTATGAGATGCAAAAATTTGGAAGCATACAGTTGTATACAGGTCAAGACAGACATAACAATAGTTCACAAACTCCTAATGCCTGTGAGGAAAATCTTGATCATTCAAGACAGAGACCTTAAAACGGTATCTAATAGACAGTGAGAAAAAAACTGCACTTATCACCAGAAGATCCTTAGTGATGAAGAGCTCAATTGTTACGAAACTGCAATTTTTGCACCTTCAGGAAATCTGTATCAATGTGAAATGGATACTAGATGAAGGCTAACAAGCACTGGAACTTTGTTAGGAAGTTGTAACATAAGTTATTTTTCTAACTGCTTGCTTGATAAGTATTGTAGAGACAAAAAGCCCATGGTCCCTCAAAAAAAATAATAAAAAGATCTCTGTGTTATGTTATCATCCAAAAATGGAATAAACTTTCTTGAAACCAAATTATTAAAATTCTTTTATTTTTCAGTACCTCACCACCACTATTACAAATATTGCATTACAAATACTGCGTACTACAAATACAAATTGCCCTATTATATACAGGGGGCAGTAGACTGGGGCTTGAGAGGCTCAAGTTGCACCTGAAAAAGAAATGCTTTTCACCAGGAGAGTAGTGCAATACTGGAACAGGTTCCATGTTCTATGCTCTGGGAGAGACTGTGGCATCTTCATGTTTAGAAGTGTCCAGAACTCAGGTAGACAAAGGAATGGCTGATCGAGCAGTTGGGACAGTCCTACTCTGACTGAAAAGTTTGGTTAGATGACCTCCAGACATCCCTTCCAGACAGCATTTCTGTGATTCTGTCTCTTGTAGGACCTATGCCATACCTGCCACCATGCCAGTGAAGTTGTTCTATCACACCAGGGTCACTGAAAGGCACAAGGTATCTGAAGGCATTCTGACAAAAAGCTGGTAGCAAACACAAGCCTGCATGAAAGCATTCAACAAATACATAGACTTTTAAAATAATGTGCCTCCAAAATAATCAGAAACTGTAGAAAGCTGGCAAACATATCTGAAAACATACAGTTGGACTCTGTGGACTCATCAAACACTATCCTAATGTTTCACTCTCACTTCATATTTAAGAGATAAAACCCTTAAATGAGACAATTCAGATGGTAGGCAGATGATACTGATGAACTGCAAACTAGACAGGAATGTAAAGCAATAAAAATAATTTTTCTGTAAGTTTCCTACCTACATCACATATCCCATTGCCATAACATCCCCAAACCTTAGTACTTCAGCTGAGCTTCTAAGATAAATAATTCAACTATATGTGGTCTTCCCACTTAATGCGCGGCAACGGAAAAAGAGAATGGCAAAGCTGGAAACAATCAAGTAACATAATTAGTCATGCCAGCCATCTTCAGATCTGTTGTTAAGACTAACATTTCCATTAAAGCAAAGCTTTCATTTCAAGCAATTAATTTTAAAAGCTGTGCTATGAATCAAAAAGCACCATTCAGAACTGTCAACACATAAAGCCACTAAAAAAAAATACAGCAGGGTGTTAGAAGAACAGAAATAAAACATTTATATTGAAGAAATCAACCACATGCATTAGCCCCAACAATACCTCTGTGCTTCAAGGGCACACTCCTTTCAAATTTTGTCTGTGTCAGCACTCTTTCCTGTCCCTTTCTCTGGGCCAGCACTCCTTGGCCCAACTTGATGCATAGGCAGCATCATATCATGCCCCTACTTCTCCATCAAATGCAGCCTCCCATGGCTTTCCAGGCCTGTGTAGATCCGCAGTCATTTGAATGACCCTAAATGCTGCTTTCCCTCAGACTTGCTCAGAGCTCCCAATGCAGACAGGGATGTGCTCTGCCAGCCACCTTACAGTGCTGGGACCAGGCAACATCAGTGAGCACAGGTGCTGGAACCTCCGGTTTAATTTCCTTCTCCCCTCTCCCTGCCTGTCTGCACCCTGCATTTCTTACTCTTTACATTCAGTTGAGCTCAAACTGGAGCTGTAGAGGTGTCCCTGATAGGGTAGAGACAGCTCCATCACAGAAAAGGCAAGCAGATGTGACTTGTACTCTTAGAGGCATCACACACTGAACTAGCTTAAATATAAGGAGAGAGAAGAGTGGTTTTTTAGACTTTATTTTAAACCCCCTTTATTTTATACATACTAGATCAGCATTTTGCAAATGTCAGTGTCTAAGTTTAGATGCCTCAGTTATGTAGCTTCAGATGTATTTGGTATCTCTAGACTTCTAGAGATACCAAATACACTAGAGATACCAAAGTCACTAATTTGTGCAGTGCTGTGCACATTTGAAAGTCGAGTGCTCTTATTTAAGTGTTAAAGTCAGGAGCCAAATTTCACCTCCTCAGTAGTAAAGTATTTGGCAAAGTAATTATCTTAATAGCATTTTTAGTTCTCTTCAGGTTTTAGAGAGATCAGCAAATTTACCATTTGCTATTGCAATGACTAAGGAATTCTGTATAAAACTTTTTTTTCCTCTATTTTTACCTCTAGCAGGGAGCAATAACACTCTAGTAAATACCTCATATATTGCTAAGTTGCAGATATCTTCGATATGTAGCTTAGAATAAATTTGAAATCAAATGTACACCTTGAGGACTGAAACTTAAGTCAGTAGTGCTTGTAAAGCAAACATATAATATTTTACCAGTAGTCATTTCTTAGTAATTGAAAGCAAGGCTATAACTATCTGTGTTTCTGTCACTTGCAGCAGCTCTAAATTTGACTTACTTCAGGCATCAGTTTCAAGTGATTACAGAGAAAAAAACACATTCAGGTGAGTTATGATAATCAGAAAACCTAACAAGCATATATTTCCTTGTTTACATTTCCAGTTAAGGTCAAATAATGCCTGCTTGAAGCACTGAAGGAGTGTACACAAATGGAATATATATCTCAGTGTCTGAGAAGTCTTTTGAGACAATGTTAACAAAATGAATTATATTCTACCTCAGTATCCTTGCAAATTCTGTCACCTACAGAGCGTCACAAAAGCTTTCTCCATATGCTTCTTTCCTCAGTATGATGATTAAATGAGAAGAACGCTAACATACAGAATAACAGGGATAGCTAATGTCAGGCAGATTTCAGACTTGGCTCTCATACAGAAGACAGGTGATATGGAACCAGTATGCAGAGTCTTCTCCAAGCTCTGTTGTCTTCTCTCAGTGCCTCAAAAAAAGATAAGAGCTGATAAAAGGCAGGGTGCTTTTCTGGTAGCTAAATGAAGCAAAGATGATGGATAAGGTTATTTAATTTTGAAATCATTCAGGAACTGTAATTTGCATTAGTTTTTCCTGATTTTAGAATGCAGAAATTTGCAGAGACAGTGATGACTATGAGATAAGGAAAATTAAATTACTTGTTATATATGTCTTATGCTGTGATAGTTTAAACTTCTTTCTTTGCCTTAACATTTCCTCAAATGTAAGTTATTTTTCTTATTTTTCTGACAATTATATTAAAAATACACCAAACGTCACTGTCATTTTGTGGTATCATTACTAATGTGCCAAACAGTTCTTTGTTACTGGTGAGAAACAAGTCATGGTCCACAGACATCTGTATAAAATTTCAATGAAGAGGAACAATAAATCAGGATAATTCTTGGTAGAGAAGATGCAGGTGTCAAAATAAAATGAGCATGATCAGCATCTGACTTACAATTCCTAGAAGACTCACTGGTAGGGTTACACATCCTTCTCATACTAAGGATGGGGTTGCTTCACAGAACTTAAGCTAATCTAAAGAAGCAGAGGTCTCATCTACATTTGCTGTTTAAGATCACTGTATAAGAAAACAGATATATTTTATTCTGTGGTGGCTGAGATAGAAAAGACAAATGACCATGGACAGGTACCAGTAATGGTCCTGTAACCATGGAAGGAATTAAGGCAGTTAGCTAGCTGAGCACCCAAATTTTAAACTATTAAATTAGATGAGAAGAATCTCAGTCTGTGTATCATGTTGATGTTGAAGTGCACTTACTGTTATTTGCTAAATACATGGTTCTGATAAAAGGGAGCCAATCTTCCTTCATGGCCTGTTTCCTGTACTAACAATGTCCTGAGTTAGACTGATTTATAGAATGTACTACGTTCAAGCAATGGCTTTTATAAGGGATATTTTCCACTATGAACATTAGTTCAGCTATCAAGAGAGGTTCCTAGTGACCCTTATTATTTTGTTTTCTCCAGTTTGTATGTGGAGATTTACATACCGCATGCCAGCAGTTGTACATTATCTGGTAGATGATGTCTGGAACCAGTTGTAGTCTATAAAGTTGTATCCCTGAAAAACTTTCTTGATCACCTTCATGTTATCATAAACCTTGTAGGGATGCTTTCCCAAAGTGACACCTCCCACATTAAGATACCTGCAAAAATTTTCATGGCAATGGAAGACAAAAAATGAAAGTCAAGACATGGAAGATTAGTCCTTTTTCCCAGAACAAGACACACATGCAACATATGACTGATCAGACTCTACAGAGAATACAGTCCAAAGAAAAGTACAGATATGACTGACAAATGTGATTCTGTACATAAATATAAAACAACTTCTACTGCAGAATAAGGTAAAGTTAAATGATAAAGACAGTTATAAAATATATCTAATGTAGTCAGTGATGGATAAAGTAGTCAATGATGGAGAAGTCCCAAGGCATAGCTATCCATGGAATGAGCTTTTTACGAAATCCATTCAAACCTCCCCTTATGTATGTGAATGTACACAGAAAGAGGGGAAAAACCCCAAAATGACAGCTATAGGTATCTATGTTTTTATAGAATAATAGGAAAGATTGTTACTGATTTTTTTTTCCTCTGGGACTTATCAGAAAGATAGCCAAATACTTTATAGTGTCAGCTACACATACCTGTAAAAACAGGATTATACTGAAGCAATAGAAACACTGGATAACATCATAATCATTAATTCATAATGATAGCTTTTACAAAAAACAATTTTTGTTGTAACTGAACATATGTGATAATCATGCCAACCCTGAAGTGAAACAAAAAGTGAAATATTTATTTTACAGTGATATGTAATACTGTCAGCAATGATTGCAGCATCTGTAAAGAAAGAGGCTAAACACGCACATGCACACACACACTGCTTTCACAACTAGCTCTTCTTTATTCACCCAATCATGGTAATATATAGCATACAGATACAGGTCTGATCCATAAAGCCAAACAGCAACTACATCATTCCCAGTGACTGTTTTCAGTTACTACAAATTCTACTCTGTAAACAATCACTCCCCAGGCTGCTTCCCGTCCCGACCTTGCACCCAAACACTCCCTGGCTTACTCAAGACCCAGGTGCACTATCAGCAATTATTCTGAAGAGTGGAGCATTGTACAGTGGGATCAGAATAAAACAGTATCTGAATCCCAGCTTTCCCTGATGAGAAAATTTGAACAACAAGGTTATTTGTTCTCTGACATCTGCTTTTGGGATATGAATACATCAGTTCTTTAGCCCTTTAAAGACTCATTAGTTAAAACCAATCAAACAAGAACTGATGGATTCTGCTCTCCCCTTGCTTCCACTGCATCAATGGATAGTGTTTAAACGCGAAAAGATCTTCCAAAGAAAATTAATGTTTCTCATTGAAATTAATGCCAATATTGAAAGTTAACAACAACATAGGCTGGAGCCAGGATTTCTTCAATAGGAACAAAAAGTATCGCCAGAAAATCCAACTTCTGATTTAATCAGATATACTATAAATAACCTGTAAAGGGCATGAATGAGCTGTTTCTCTTGCAGCTGTTAATGCTGGGAGACTAGCTGAAGTTAAAGATAAGAAGAAGCCCAGTATTTGGAAATAGTTTCATCTGCTTTATTCACCATTATTCAATGTCAAGAAAAGTGGGTTGGCAATCTTTCACCAACTTGGCAGCTGCAAAAAAAAAATTCCTGCTTTAAGAGCAAACCTATGTAAGCGGAATTTAAGCACATTCACAAAAGGCTCCTTTTGATACCTTTTGCAGACTTTTAGAAACACTGAACAGACTCCAGGGATTTGTAAATCATAGCTTGAAAAGCACTGAAGTAGAAGTTCAAATGTTTGAAATTCCTGGGTAGTAAGTGATCTGCAAACATATTTTATTTTTGCTGAGATACACAGTCCTAGCTCACCCACTCTCTTCCACAGCTGGCTTATGCACGCAGTCCACTCTGACCTCTGTGACTAACAGAAAAGGTTTTTTGAGTTGAGCAGCATTGATTTGCGGTCTAGATACATCAACGATATTGTTTGAGCTCTACTGGCAACAGTTTAGTTTACCATATTAAACACATACAAACAGTAAATGGGGAGTAGGAAGTTTTAATGTGCCTAGAAGAAAAACAGTATAGTTAGAAAAATCTGAAGAAGATAGGGCTTGGATGCATAAAATTATTAAACAAGAACATACGCTGTAAATGCTTTTTACATTCCTTAAGTGTGTAAACGTCTAGAATTTCTGCTTAGTAAGCTGAGGATATCCAAACATAGTGGCATATATGCATATATATTTATACATCAAATTCCATACATACCAAAGGCCCATACATCTGACTTTCTGCTAAATTTGGTGTAAGGAAAATCTTCTGGTGCTGACCACTTTACTGGAAACTTGGTTCCTAGTGAACTTACATACTGGTCATCCAGAACATACCTACGAGGCAAGAGCCAAACTTGGTTGTAACTGACTTGATAAGGAATTGTCTGGATGGTTGCACTCAAAGACTGATCAATGGCTCAAATGTCCAAGTGGAGATTTGAATCCTGCAAATAGTTGTGTTCATGTCTGCTTGAGTTTTAGCACGAGCAGCACATCTGAAATCAGACTACCATCACACCTGGAGTTCAGACTACAGAACCTTTGCAGAGCTGGGCACGCTTGCTCCCTGTGCCTTTTAAGTGAGCCAGTATGTAACAGTGGTGTCAAGGGGGAAGACATGGGGCACTGGCAGCAGCAAAGGCTGCAAGTAATAAAAAGTGCTTTTCTAATTGGCTGCAATAATGTTTAAATTTTCTAATAAATAACATTCACACATGTCACAAATAAGCCCTACGTGAATGTTCCAATAGAGGTATTTATTTGCTGTGCTGAACAGATTACATTTACAGAGTTCTACTGCATAGCAGAGAAATCACTCTATATGGAGCGACAAGGCAATGGCCTTATGGCCATCCAGTCCCTTTTACAGCGAAGCACTTAGACACGCGAGTAGTGATTTCAGTGCAGCAGCTTAAGCTTACTGTGTATTGTTGAACTGGGTTGTGGAGTGGTGCAGAAACCCAGCAACCTTTAGAAAAATATTTAGAAGATTCAAGTGGGGTGGGAGAAGGCCATCTGGGAGTCGAACTAGTAAAAAAAAGACGTCTTAGGGGTGGGAAGGGAAGAAGAGCCCTTCAGCATCACTAATGGGATATTTTTTCTATGTCAAGGGACATCTTAGAGGTTCAAAAAGGAAGCCAAACCCAGTTAAGATTCAGGGTGGTCTGGATGGTAAAGATAACTCTGTCCAGGAAAGACAAAATGGTCTCAAATACCTGATAGACAAGATTGGCTTCTCAGAGGACTAATCTATTGGTTTTCTGGCAGTTCCAAAACCTGGTAGATTTTCCATCAGCATAGTACTTCAGCATACTTCATTTGTTATGAATTCACACCTTCAGACTCACCTCCCATGTGAAGTGTCTGTAGCGTCAGCCCTTGCATAACAAGACTTTCTCTCTTCTGGGCCAGGAATAGGAACTCCTCTACCTATGTCTATAATGACTTAATTCTTCAGCACTTGTAAAAATGTAGAACCTTATGAAATGCAGTTAAAATTGGGCAAAATATTTGAAATTATGATGGTGAGAATGGAAAATACATACACACACATGTGTGACATACATACATGGATGGTCATAGAGCACTATAGTGAGTTTCATATCTTTGGGAAATCAGATAAATTGCAAAACTGCAGGCTGAAGAAAATAATTATTGTCTTTTGTTGATCTGAAATGTTGAGAGTTTGAGTTGTTTGAGGAGTACCAATAATACTGTATTAAATCAAGAATTTTTGGAAATTAGATATTCTAATATTTTCAGGCTTTGTCGCGAAGTATGTGCAAGACTATCACGGTATTGCCAACTTTGTGGTTTTCAGTCCATTCTAAAACTTCAGTGGAAATTACATCAAAATGTAAAAAACACACCCTAAACCTTCCTCTAAAAAGAGCAGAAGAGCCTGAACCATGGGTGCAGGTTTCAAGTCAGCTTTTCCTCTCTCCCATGCCATTCTGTAGCAGTTGTCACTCAGCCCTGTTACAAACAAATCGCTCTGTTAGTACTCAGATTTGAAACAGCTTTGCTTGCAGATGGATGGGATGCCTGCTGTAATTTCCCAATGGCATTTAGATAGTCTTCTGTTTATAAAGTATCACTATATACACTGGACATCTATGGCAGATCCCACTGAGATCTTGAGAGCTGATGTTTCTCCCTTTTGAGTGCAGAGGGATCTAAGGATTTTTTTATTATTATTATTTTCAAAAAGAATTTAGGGTTTTTTTTGTGGGTGTTGTTTCTTTTTTGTGGGTCTTTTTGGGGTTTTTTTAAGGTTTTTTGTTTGTTTGTTTTGTTTGTTTGGTCTGTTTTGGGTGTTTTGTTTGATTGTTTTTTTGTTTGTTAGGTGTTTTGTTTGTGTGTTTTCTGGGTTGTTTTGTTCAGCATCTCTCTGCTTAGAATGAATCTTTTGAATCTTTTCAAGGTTTAGTGGTTTGTTCCTTTACCAAAAGGCAGTGTAGCTCTGCTGGCATTATCCACTTTCTTAACACCCACTCAGAAGTGTCAAGTCTGATATGTGATAAGTTACCATTCTTCTTCTGCTTTCATAAATATCTTTCTGTCATTTCTTTCCTAATACAGACACTCTCAATATACTTTCTTTTCCATTTTACATTCTACAGGATGCAGATGGCAAGATAGAGATACGACTTTTGTAATTCTTTCTGCTTTTTTAATAATATAGCTGAAAAATCACTCTAAGAGTAGTCTTGTGACATAACATGAAATTACCAGAAGTCCTTTCCAACCCTAACTACCCTATTCTAACCCTAACTATTCTATGATCCTAAGAAGTGTGTACTCAAACAATATGAAATAAATACTATCCTATAACGTTTCCTAAACTACACTCTAAATAAATCCTATATCCTATGACGTTTCCTAAAATATATCCTAAATGTATGCTAAAGTATATACTAAAATTTGTTTCCGAAACATAGGAGTAATAAATAACAGTAATATATAATAGTAGTAAACATAGTAATAAACATAATAATAATCATAGTAATGAACACATTAATAAACAAAGTAACAAACACAGTAGCGAAATAGTAATAAACAAGTGGCCCAGCATAAGTGTTGTGCCCTCTGTCCCACTCAGATGAATATCATTGCCATGTGTGAGATGGAGTTCAGAGGCCAGCTCCCCACTTGGGGAGATAGGCCAGAGGGTGGCATTTGCCCACCGTACTTGCCCCTGCAGCAGCAGCCCCACATTCTGAGGGGGGAGTCTGCGGTGCTGGTGGCTCCTCATCCCCCTCGCTGGCCAGCCCAGCCACCTCCTCCCAAGGAGTTCTTCCTGGTGTTCAACGAGGAACTGCACGAGCTGCGTCACCTGCACACAGCAAAGCTCTGGCTCCACCGAGGAGGCTGATAGGGGCTCAATCAGCCTTTTCCAGCCTGATCCACACTTCTGTGCAGGGAGGTGCAGCCATGGGGCTGCTCTTCCCAGCTGCTGATGGGAGGAGGCAGCCAAGTCCAGCTGGGGAGGCTGTAGCTGAGAGGTGAACACAGTATACCTTTCCTTGTTTCCTGCAAAGACATCCAGTGAGAGCTCATGGTGGGGGCTGATGAGGTTTAACCCCAGGCAGATGGCCAGGTTCCTAGCTGTCAACTTGCTCATGGCCAGGTTCCTGGTGGTGTTATGGAGCAGGGAAAGCAAGTGCTGAAGCAGGAGCATGTTGGCCTCAGGTAACTTGCTGGCCAGGCAGAGGGAACAGAAGCACAACGTTAATGAAGTTGGTGTTGACAACACAGGTCTCCCAGGCTGATCTGTCTGGTCTATAGTGGAGGGGATGGGCTGCCTTCCCTGAGATACAGCCACCTCCCTCCCTCTCTGCCCTTCTGAAAGAGGCCCTTGCTGGAGCAAGCCCCAATGTCTGCAGAAAGTGATTCCCACGGAGAAATTATTTTCTGTCACCCTTTCTCCCCATATCCAAACCCCACAGCAGTAGAAAGTGGCTTGCATAAACCATGGCTATTTCAGGCAGGCCACTGCTTTGCAGGCGAGTCCTGGCCTGTGCCAGTCCCTGCAGAGCAGGCAGGCTGCTGCCACACTTACTCTTTCAGTGCTGCCAGCCTCTCCTGCCTGCTGGTGTCCTGAAGGGCACTCATCCACTCCTCATATAGCTGGACATCAAGGAGCTTGAAGGGGATCTTGCGGAGGAGATCCTGCAATGCCAAGGGCTCCACGTGAGGCTTTGGCCACTGCCCCCAGGAGCACTTGCAGCATCCCCAGGCCCTCTGGCTCATGAGCAGGTGACTGGGATTCTGCTTGTGCTCCTGCAGGTGCCCATCAGCATCAAGAGCTCGGCGCTGCTGGCATCCAGGTCAGCAGGGCTCACCTGGAAGTTGACAGCCAGCAGCAGCACAGGCTAGCTCTCAAGATGAACCTCAACCCCACTGTTGAGGGCCTCCCTAATCTCACGGGAGGTGTGCTTGCTGGCTGCCCACTGGAAGATCCCCTCTGTAGATGGCCCATGCTTTCTCAGCAGAACCAGCAGGTCCTGAGGGCACAGAGGAGGAGAGTTGCTGGGCTGGAGACAGGCCCTGAGGTAGGTGCTGGGGACAGCTCCCCTCTGGAGGAGCCAATGTGATGGGATGAGATGGGATGGGGTGGGATGGGATGGGGACCCTCTGGCCAGGCTGCAGCAGTATGCTGTCCTGTCTGCAGAGAGCTGCCAGGCGCCAGCCAAAGAGAGCCTCTGCAACAGCAGAGCCCGATGGCCCCAGTGCCTCTACTGTAGCTGAGGTCCCTGGCTACACAAATGGCCTGGTCAGCCTCCTCCTGCTCCTAAGGGTCCCACTGCTGCAAGGGAAACAGTAAAAAGAGCTGTGGAGGAGAAGCATCAGGAGAGTGCTCCCAGACTTGGGAGCTGCCATCCCCCTCCCCTGCCCAGGGCATGGGAGAGGCAGTGGAATTTGGGAATGAGGGGCCTTGGGGCTCAGCTCCTCCCTGCCGCAGAGCAATGGGGATGGATGTGCCCTGTGGGAAGGGCAGTGGCAGCTCCCTCCCAGCACACATGCCCACCTGCAAGAGTGGGAGAGAAAAGCCATCCTGTCCCTGTCTTCTCCAAACTCACCATCGACGTGGCCACATCCATCTCGATTTCCGGTGGTGATGGGAGGTGGCTCCTGCTTGGCACTAGCCTGCAAGAAATGCGCTGTGTTCACCAAGCAGCCCCGCAGCAGACCAGGCCCCTGGTGAGCTGCATCAGGCCCTGGCTGTGTGTGAGAGGTTGTGACCCTGACCTGAGCCTGGTGCTGGAGCAGCTTCTCCAGGCTGCTGGCATCCAGTGTTGAATCCTAGGCAATGGGAAAAGAGCAGAAGATGAGGAGCGATGCAGCTGATGCAGGGCTGGGGGAGCCCCTGGGGCAGAGCAGTGGCAGGAGGGACACTTACAGAATTGCAGCTGCTCAGCTCCTTGAGCACCAGCTTGATGGAGGGCAGCTGGGTGACCCAGGCTCCCTGCACTCCTTCAGGTGGTCTGTGCATGGGGAAGGGGCAGAGAAAGAGCTGTGTGAGACCCAAGCCAGTTCTTCCCTCTGCTGCCAGCCTGGGGAGCACTTCTAAGCTGCTCAGAACAGCTGGTACCACCTGGCAGTGGAGCGGGAGCAGCGGCAGTGGTGAGGATGGGTCTGGGCAGGTGCTGGCTGGATACAGCTGGATGAAGCAGCTCCGCCAGCTGTGTCCACTCAGCAGTGGGGGCACCTCTGCCTGCAGCTGTGGGGTCACCTCTGCCTGCAGCTGTGCAATTATTCAGTACAGCAAAGGAAAGCAACTCTATTGATCGTGAATATGTTAGATCAAGTTCCACCCAAACTTTCCTAAAATATGTTTCAATATTTGGAGTATTTGTTATTGGAAGAGAATCACCATAATGCTGAGAAATACCATAAGACAAAGCAAATTAAGTAGACAGAGCATATGGGATTGCCGTCTGAGTTGTGCTGATGGTAGTGTATAAGCTTGAGTATTGATTCAAACAGTAATTTTTAGCGAGGTAATACTTGTTCTCAGGAGTTTTATGCACATGGTAGTATTTGACCGTTCCCTTTTTTACTTCAGAAAAGCATAGAATCATAGAATAGTTTGAGTTGGATGGGACCTTTAAAAGTCATCTAGTCCAACTCCCCAAAGTGTAGCACATATCAAAGCCTTGGAAAGTGCTCTCCAGCCCATGTGCTAATAGATCAGTTGGTTACTGAATTAACTGCCATGTTCCAGCTGTCCAAATAAGAACGCAGTAGATGTTACCAGGAAGACTGTTACATTTGCCTTGACCTGATTTCTGTGACACCCCCCCCCCCCCCCCCCCCACACCCACCTGGATATGTAATACAGGCTTCCGGCATGTTGGAGACTTCTTCTGCGTGCTGTGATGTATGCCCATAGCACGCTCAATAGTACACATTCTTCGGATACTCACTCTGGAACCTTGCTGTATGCAGACACAGTATACATGATTGCCTGGCTAGATTTCCAAACCATTAAAGTGCCTTCTTTTTCCTAATACAAAGAAAAAGGAAAAAAAAAAAAAGTTACAAGGAACAGTGAGGTTGGGGTTCATTTCAGTGGACTTTAGGCTTTTATACTGTAATACCCACAAAGGAGGGAAGAAGACATGAATTATCTGACCTCTTTTAAGGACTACATTAGGACAAGGTGAATTATGCCTGAGAAATATTTCTTTCCACTAAAATGCTGGTCTGGATAACCGGTTGTGGTATCACACTGGAGCAAACAACACAAGCCTAGAAGTAAAACCAAAAGGCAGAGCTTTGAGGGGAAATGCACTCAGTGTGGCTTTATTCCAAGCTTACGTTAGAGGTGCATCATTTATTCACTTATGTGGAAGTGGCATTTTTTGAGATCTGTTTGTTTATATCAATTTAGAAGAATAATTTCTAGCACTTCATAATACTACAGCTATTTGAGGTGCATCAGAATCCTCTAGCTACACAGTATAGTGAAGACAACACACATATTTCATAGAATCATAGAATAGTTAGGGTTGGAAAGGACCTTAAGATCATCTATTTCCAACCCCCCTGCCATGGGCAAGGACATCTCACACTAAACCATGTCAACCAAGGCTCTGTCCAACCTGTCCTTGAAGACTGCCAGGGATGGAGCATTCACAATCTCCCTGGACAACCCATTCCAGTGTCTCACCACACTCACAGTAAAGAAATTCTTCATTACAAGCGTTTCAAGGTCCCTCTGGATGGCATTCCTTCCCCCCAGCATATCAGCCGAACCACACAGCTTGGTGTCATCAGCAGACTTGCTGAGGGCGCACTCAATCCCACTGTCCATGTCACTGACAAAGATGTAGAACAAGACCGGTCCCAACACCGATACCTGAGGAACACCACTCGTTACTGGTCTCCAGCCGGACATTGAGCCATTGACCACAACTCTGCCTGCAGCCATCCAGCCAATTCTTTATCCACCGAGTGGTCCAACCATCAAATTGATGTCTCTCCAATTTAGAGACAAGGATGTCATGTGGGACAGTGTTGAACGCTTTGCACAAGTCCAGGTAGATGACATCAACTGCTTTGCCCCTGTCCATCAGTTTCGTAGCCCCATCATAGAAGGCCACCAAATTGGTCAGCCAGGATCTCCCCTTAGTGAAGCCATGTTGGCTGTCACCAAGCACCTTGTTATTTTTCATGTGCCTTAGCATGCCTTCCAGGAGAACCTGTTCCAAGATTTTGCCAGGCACAGAGGTGAGACTGACTGGTCTGTAGTTCCCCGGGTCATCCATTTTCCCCTTCTTGAAAATGGGGTTTATATTACCTTTTTTCCAATTGTTGGGAACATCGCCTGACAGCCATTATTGTCACTAGCTGGAGCTACTGTTATTCAATGTTGTTCAATGTTCATTGTTGTTCAAAAACATTTCCATGATTGTTCATATATATAAAGAATAAAGGATATGTAGGTCCTTCTGATGGAGCACCTGCTCAGACTGGGCACAGGAGATATTACCAGCATACAGACCGCAAGGAGGAATATTGGGCTTATTATTCACAAGCTGATTTCTGAAAAAGGCACAGCAGGCACATAAAAAATGCCAGTCATTGTAAGTATTTTCAAAACTGCTTTTAAAAGCCAGAGGGTAGACTTGGGACTTGTCCTGCATATGTGGCTTTAGGACATTAAAGAGTAATTGCTAGTTCCCATATGCTTCCTCTAATCCAATGGCTCTCCTCACCCTGAAATAGCTGGACTCACTTTGTGACTCTGACTTACAGTAGCTCGTTAAAGGAGGATCCTGCTGCCCTAAAGTTCTGCTAGGAGCCCTACCAGAAGTAATTGACTCTGTCTCCTGCAGACGACGACATAGCTGTCTCCCTAAAGGCTGGGCGGTGCATAATTCTTTTCTAATCTTGAACCTTCTAGTCGTCATAATATTTCGGCAAACTGAGAGATCCCAAATGGAGGAACAAGCCAAACATGCTATGTCAGATCAGTTCTGGAAGCTTCGATGAAACTTTTTTAATAGAGGTTCACTTGCATGAAGCAGCCCTTTGGCATACAAGACTGATGTGTCTAATGACTTCTTTGTTTGAAAGCAAATACATTCATGCCTTTGGAAGTCTGCTGGCTATTATGTTGCTGATAACAATACCTGCAATTATGATAATTTTTATGACAGCCATATGCAGGATACCATTGTTCTATGTATAGCAGACACTAAAAGTGGAAAGACAATCTCTGCCCAAAGAATCCTTTGGATTCTTATGAAGACATACTCTATATACTCACTCATGCTTATCAATATTCTGTTTCTGCCAATGCCTGTTCACTGACCCTGGTGTTTTGCCTGCAAAACCAAAACAACATGCTGAAATTATGAAAAATAACTATGGTTAAAAACCATACTATGTATGTTTTTTGAATGGTTCTGCCATGGTCTAAAGTGAATATTTTGAAAAGTTGAGACATGTTCAGTTGTCTGGATTTTTTTGGGACTTGGTAAACACACAGACTTTCCACTGTGCAACGTGTCAAAAAGCCAGATACTCTGTCTGCATGCTGTAACAGGCAATGAAACTGCACATCACTTTAGTGACCTTATGAAGAGATTGTATCTACCTTTTCAAAGTTTACATGGCAGACATATAAAGCCCTAGACTTTCCAAAAAGTGTTCTTAGTATGGCTGAAAACAGTGGCAGAAAAAAAGATGCCTAAAATAACCTCTTACGCAAAAATAATAATGATTTATGCTTGCCTTTTACAGGATACTGTAAAAGTAGGGTTTTTTTTTTAAGGAAACCTCTGAATCTTGTGCAGTATGGTTTATGGTAAAATAATCTGTCATACATCTATGGCATACCTTTAATGCTTACAACATTATGTCACCTTACTAAAAAGGGAAAGATGAATCTGATATATCACCTTGACAGACCTGGACTCCCTTTATCCTGTACTGGACTACTCACATACATACAAAGACATGGAAGTGCTAGCAAGGCTGACTTAGTGCCTTGCTAGCGCTTCCATGAGTAAAAAGATGGAAATGCCAGCATCGCTGAAGTCAGTGGCAAAACTATACTGATTTAAATGAAATCAGTATTTTCAACTGATTTTTTTTGTATGAGTCAGGAATACAAATTGTATCTGATTCTATACATTTCAAGAAACTCAGTGTTATTTGAAAAGAAAAATATTCCAGAAATATTGCCTAGTCTTTACTGGAGGGGGGAGGAAAACATTTAAGCATTAAACATTAAGGCTGCATATTTATTCACCTTGGCTCATCAGCACTCAGAGATATCTTTCTCAAGTAAGTGCTCAGTACAAAACCTTCCTTTCCACAAAAAAAACCCAGTTCACAGCTAGCATCTTAAATTTGGTCACTTAAAATAAAAAAAAAGGGATTCAGAAAGTAAATCAGAAAGTCAATTTTTAGAATGCCACTAGCTGAAATGATCATGGTGAAAAAATTTCTGCTTTTCCTTACAATATAGTAAAATACAGAAGTAATTTATTTTAGAAAGTTACCTTTCAATGAAATAGTCTTTTCACTGCATTGAAATGGCTTCTTCCCCTGTGATTGGTTTCATTATATGGAAGATGGGAGCAGCTGTTCAACAATATCATTACATGTCATCTAGCTACTGCAATGAGGTATGCCAGTGATTAATGGGTGCCAGCAGAGCATCCAAAGTTGAATGCAGAAAGTCAATAGGTAGGCTCAGCACTCTTCCTGACAGAATGACAGATGCAATTGAGAAGCTAAGCTAAGTGAAGATGGACAGCTGAGCTAGCACTTAAAAGCATCTGGCAGCACGGCATGATAGACCTAAGTTATGGGGCCCAGCAGGCATCTGTAGTGGTAAGAGGTGGGCTAAATGCTGTGCCCAAGAGGAAAATAAGTAGAAGGAATAAATAGTACCTTTGAATATAGATAGACATAGAAAGAGTTGCTTTAGCACAGATTTCAGTGAAGTGAAAAGAAAACTGAAAATGCATGAAAACAGGTGAAACAGGTAACTTCTGAAGTTTGTTGCTATTACATTCAACAAAACTACATTATATTTTTTCAACCAGAATTTAAAGGTTTTGTAATGAAGTATGTGTGATTTGTCCTTACCAAATCAGTACTGCAAAACTCTCAAGTTTCTCAAGCCAAAGAAAAAACTGTAAATGTCCTCCCTTTCTTTTGACCTTTCCTTGCTCCTTCATTGATCTTAGAGCCCTCTATTCAGGCTTTATAAGCAGAGCTCCCTTTATCATATGCTTTTACATATCCATAAGCAGTCCAGTGAAGACACCTAAGAGTTTACCTCAGCTTACTTACTTATTATTGTCTCTGAGTTGCTGGCATTGAGTGCTGCTTTCTTCACCCAGAACAGTATGCCAAGCTTGTGAGTTATAAAATGCAGACACTTTAGCTTAAATTAAGGTTGCTAATTTTCCTGCAGTTGTAAACTCAAATAAATGAATTATGAGTGGATTAAGTAATTTTATTCTGTTCCAAACTAGCATCCCCTAGCTCAAAAATTTTTCCCTTCCACATTTCTATCAGTTATATAAAATCAAACTCAGCCAGTATCCACCATGAGACAGACAAGGAATCTTATCTCTTCCAGGCAGCTCCTGTTTGTTGCCTTGCCTTTGTCTCCAGTGTACTTCTAAAGCTGTTTCTTATTTAATAACTTGGGAAGAGACACTCCTTTCTGCCTCAGCTGGATATTAATGAAAAATACATTTTTTTTTCTTTTTTTTTTTTTCCCGTTGCTAAAGGGGATTCCTCATTTTGTGAAACTCAAAGAGAATAATTAAACCCTGTGTGGTACTGGGTGCCCTGTCTTCATAAATAAGTATTGCTAACACTGGGGAGAGACTGGAGTGATAAGTAATTCATGCCTCAGCAGCTCTCACTGGTCTCCCCTACTGCTACTGCAATAGTAATGGTGTTGGTCTAGAGGGTTTGTGTGTACGACAGAGGCAACATCTCTGATATTTTATCTTTTTATTCATTTAAACTAAATAATTGGGAAAAAAAGCCAGTTTCTGTGTATATAAGCCCTTCTTCAGACACATGTCAAAATTAAGACCAACTTTGCTAGTGTACTAGGCAGTGACTGTTGTAAATCTTACTCAACCTGGCAGCCAAGGATGGTAATGAAAATGGAGTTGTACAGAAGACAATGAGGCTTCTAAAGCAACATTTAAAAGCTACTAATGTAATTCTAACATAGATCCTGAAAGGTACTGGGACTGCCTGCAGTGTTGTCTGTGAAGATGAAGTATGTGGAAGACCATGGTCATGAAACAAAAGTATTTTGCAGGGCACACTTGCCTTTCCAAATCCCTTGCATTCCATGAGTCAGAATCTTCCTCTTGCAATCCATAGCATTTACTGCTTCTGACAAGGTGGATAGCTGAATTTCCTCTGAGTTCATAGTTGCACTGGGCCACAGCCATATTCAGGATGACTTGTCTGGTGATGGCACTTGAGGCACGCTTCTATGCTTCCACTTCTGAAGACAGAGGAAATAAAATTATGAAGGGATGCAGCACAGGGTACAGTAATAAACAACATGTCATGTACATGATCACATATATTCAACATGTAGAATGATACTAGTCAAGTTAATTAAAGCTAAAAAGATGGCCACAGACAAGCAGCTCTTTCCTCATCCATGCAGACACACATCCCAGGTGTCGTTGTCCATACTTGTGAAACAGGGAGAACAGAACCAAGTTCTGTGATAATGACAACAGAAGCAATTGACTTCATGTGAAATATGTCATCCTACAGAAATGTCTATCACTCATCACTGATTGTTGAAGAGGCCTACACAAATTACTTGAATGAGAAACCTGGCATTAAAGTTATGTGACACCAGCCAAACCATAGGCAAAAGAGCATCTAAAATTAAGGCAATGAAATGCATTTAGAAATTTGGGAAATGACGTAACTGAGAAAATCCAGGCATCACAATTCTTTAAGAGCAGAGATAACTACACTGACAGCAAAGGATGAGGGAAAGTAAGAAAGACTTAGGAGAAAAAGTTCCAAATGACACCTATTTATTATTGAAAACCACTGCAATGAAACACCAGGGAAGAAGGCCAAGTGTCTTGAATCAGGCTGTGATTTCTTTAAATCAAGTCCAAGTGAACATAGCATTATATGTTTGCTTGTTTTCTCTTCACTGGCATTTATTTATTTAATTTAAACAAGGAGAAACCAAAGAGCCAAGTGTATGCCTGATTGAGTCCACTGAGCCAGAAGACACACATGATCTCTTTCTGCAAACACACAAAGTCTCATAGGATCCCACTAAGCTCCAGTGGAGATACTCATTCTTTAAAAAGATATCACTCCCAGCAGAGTCATCTTCATTTGACTCCAGATCTGTTACTCATCATCTACTACTACTTGAACCCAATAAGAGTGGTTCCTTTTTTGTCATATCTGACTTTGGTGGAAAGGTGCTTATAGCTTGAGGGTATGTGTTAGGCAGCATTCAGGTTTTCGATTGGCTATTTCTTTTGTAGAATAATGACATAACTAGTGTTTCCTGCAGTCTTCAGAAAGATGGAGAAAATTATAATGCAGAGATTAAACTGTTTTCTCTTTAAAGCGTCTAATGCTGTTAGAGATAGCTGATACTCAATACATACTTTTATGAGCTGATGTGTCCCTCCTATATTTGGCCTTAGTAATTTTTTGAGATTAAATTGTTCTTTCTTAATTTCCTGTGTTTCACTTGTGGAATGACCAGAGTGTCACTCTTTGATGGAGCTTTCATCTTTTTGTGTGAACAGAAGAAACTGCAAAGCACTGGCCAAAGTAAATGGTACAAAGAATTATTATCACATAAATTAGTTTTGCTTTGTCCAACCAGGGACAGGGAAAAGAAACAGCCAAAGATAAGACCATGACATTTGTGTCCCTCTGAACATGTCTGTTTGCAATAGTCTGTTACAGTATTCTGGATAGACTTCATCTGTAACCTGGTAGAGACTAATGTCCTAATTTGTGTCCATATATGTAGCTTTCCATTTCCAGCACTAGCAGAAAGGTCCAGAGCATTTCCTAATAGTAACTGGGTGAATCTTATTATTCTCTTTATGCTGGCAGTGATATTATTGTGGTTTTCATATTGATGACTGTGACACTCTTACCTAGAGACAGATGCAGGTGACAGTCTGAGATTCAGCTGTGATGTCCATATAGGCAATGGTTACTTTCTGCAGAACTGCACCCCTGCCATAAAACTGGAAGCATGTGCTGGAGCACTTCAGATTCCATAAAACCTGTCCAATACATAATCATAAGAAGATGTTTGTGTGCACTCAATGAAATTCTATCTGATCTACTGCAGTATTGGTCTGTCCACCATGAACGATTTCCTATTGCAAAGACGTAGATGCCAGGTATCAGTAGAGGTGAAAGTGTTTCTCAGGCAAGAAGCTGTTATCAAAGCACAGGGGATGTACCTATGGGTTCCCATGGAGGGACCTTTGTGCCCGCTATTCTTTGTAATGGCGTCACTCTTTAGGAACCAGCTCCACTGTGGGAGACTTTGAGGTATAACTGAACTGGTGAAAGGGACAGAGGCATCAAAAATGCAGGATGCAAGCATACAAAAGTAATGCCTCATGCAAAATACAGTGCCTTTAGTCAGTTTTGCCCACATGCAGAAGTGATGCCTCTGGTCAGCTGGGAAGAAAGCAAGAAGTAAAACTTACATAGGCTGGATAGGTGAGGAACATGAACTGAAAGGTAGGCAGAAGGAAGGTTGGGGATAACGGTAGTACCTCTGATGACTAAACTGAGCAGATGAAAGGGCAAAATGAAAATGTGCTGAGAGCTTATAGAAGTAGCCCTGTGACTAAATATAGACTGTTTCTCACCAGAAGAAGTCAGTATTAGCCCTCTTAACCTGATTATATCATACTGCTTGGGAAAATGAAGTTTTTCTAACCAGATGTGGTAGTTATTATACCTACATGTACTAAACCTGATTTAGAAGTACCCATCTGAAAACTGTCATGTTCCTGCTTTTTAAATTTCCCTTTCAAAATATCATCTCTGAACTCAAGCAGATAATAAATCATAAAGGCCTAGCAGAAGGCAGCATGTTCAGAAACAGATCTGCATGACTGGTGATCTCTCAAGATAGACAAAGCATCTCCTGACAGAAGTCAGGCAAAACAGATCTCAGTATTTGAAACAAGTTATGCTGCTGCCTGTTCATAATGCTATTACTTTAAAATCTCATTATCAGAAAAAATGTCAAAAGCTTCTTTGTTCATATCTTCTTTACAAGGCTTTATTATTATTTTTTGTAAAGCTCCATTTTACAGGTTTTGTGGTTTTATCTTCTGTCTCTTGATAATCTATGTGTTTCTTAAAGCCCTGGCTTTCAGAAAAAGCTAGGATATAGACCCAGATCTAAGGATACAAAACAGAAGACAAATTAAAATAAAGCAGGAAATACGGATTTTAAAATATTATTTGAGACCCAATCTGGTTTAATTTGGAGGAGGCTGTGTAACTGTGTGAATACACAGTCCAACCATACTGCTAGACATTTCCTTAAGAGACAAAAACATTATAACTGAAGTCACTTTGATTTCTTCTATTCTCTTGTCATTGTTACCTCCTTCCCACCTACAAACATCAGTAATTAAGCTGGGCACTAAAATTAAGGTCAAAGATACCACTATTGCTCTTGTATTTTACAATAGATAGATGAGGAAATAAGCACAGAAGCAGATCTTCCAGTTTACTTTTTCTAACCCTGTTAACTGCTGACCTTTCTCATCAAGCAACTGCTGTGCTAGGGGACTCAGGATGAATCAAGCATAAGTATTACCTTTTGACATCTTAGTGTTATGCTTGTCTCTTTGGGTCTGTGAAAGCCTGCCTTTCTCAGACGGACAGTAAGGTCCAGTGAGTGCTGCTGGGACACCATACTGTTGGGCTTTTGTCTGGTACAAAGTCAAGATAAAGGCAAGAGCACATAGAAAGCTCAGATGAACTTTGCAGTTTCTTAACGCTGAGGCTGCCTCTGTAAAGTTGGACTAACAAGGCATCTGTACTCCTGACCCAGCCCCAGAGCAGCGCAGTTTGGGACTTGCCTGAGATAAATGCAGTTCATCCACCGTTTCTCACCCCCACAAAGCAGGTATATTTGTTGACGTCTTCAGTCACAATGTTTTCTTAAAGTACTGTGAGCACCATTTTCACTGGGGATTGTAGTGGAGGGAAGTTTTTGGCATCTGTAGGAATGGGACCACCTACAACCTAGAGAGCTAAGTTTGATGTCATTCCCTGATCCCACTGGAAATAAGTATATAAAGTAAAAGATATATATAATACAAGGGCTGTAGCCAGTACTGCCACCAGCATATTAAACTGAATGTGACTGATACTTTCCCACTTTGTCACATGGAGGAGGAAGATGAGTCTTTCTGTCTGACAAACTGCTGGACACAAATATTCTGAAGCTGCACTGCAGATTAGAAGTTTACACCAACTTCCAGTGAGTGCTGTTTCAATTCTCCATTCCATCCCACAGCCCTTCCTACCACTTGGATGCCAGGTCTTTCCCTCCAGCCAGATAATCAAATTTCACCTACGAGCATTTGAGGGACTGGAGGTAGTGGTTTTAGAGACTCGGTTGTACAACGCAGAGTCACATCTAGAAGAGACGGAGAATTAAAATAAACCCCACAAACTTAAGTGGGTTTTCATCTCCTGGGGCTCTCTCACTTGCAGATCTATGTAGTGATAGCAACAGCATCATGAGAGTTGACATTTCATCTGCCTGATATTCTGACATGCTCTAGCTCTGTGTTTTCAACATTCACTTAATTCAAGCACCATCTCAATATCCTTAATAACCTCATCAATCATTGTTTTCATCTATGGTAAAATGTGAATTTAGAGAAATTTCTTGTTGTATTTAGCTCTGTGTTTTTCCCAGTTCTCTTTGCTTATTTGGAATAATAGAATCACTTCGGTTAGAAAAGACCTTTAAGATCATTGACTCTACTCTCTAACCTAGCACTGCCAAATCCAGCACTAAAACGTGTCCCTAAGAACCATGTCTGCATATCCTTTAAATACCTCCAGGGATGGTGTCTCAACCATTTCCCTGGACAGCCTGTTCCAATGCTCAACAACCCTTTGAAGGTGAAGAAATTTTTCCTAATAGCAAATCAAAACCTCAGCTGGTGCAACTTGAGGCAATCTCTTCTCATCCTGTTGCTTGTTACTTGGGACAACAGATCAACATCCACCTCACAAAGTAGGCATTGTTTGCTCATCCTCAGCTGTTTGCTCATCCTTTGTCATTATGTTTCCCCTCACATCCAATAAAGCATAGAGATTCTCCTTAGCCTCCTTTTGTTCCTGTTGCATTTATAGAAACTTTTTTTTTTTTTTGTCCTTTATGTCAGTACCCAGATTAAGTTCTATTGGGCTTTGCCACTTCTAATTTTCTTCCTGTATAACCTCACAACATCACTGTAGTCCTCCTGAGTGGCCCTCTCCTTCTTCCAAGCATCATAAACCCTCCTTTTTTTTCCTGATTTCCAGCCAAAGCTCTCTGTTCAGCCAGGCTGGTCTTCTTTGCACTGGCTTGTCTTTTGGCACATAAGGACAGCCTATTCCTGCACCTTTAAGATTTACTTCTTAAAGAATTTCCAGCTTTCAAAGAGTTCCTTGCCCTTCAGGACTGCTTCCCAAGGAACTATCAACCAGGCTTCTAAATAAGACAAATTCAGACCTCTGCACATCCGAAGTAACAGTTTTGCTGATCTCCTCTTTTTATTTCTCCAAGAACTGAAAACTCACTTTGTAATTGATTTGATTGCATTCAGAAGGAAACACATGTATGCTTTATTTTTATTCTGGTTCTTTGAAATTGTTTCATTGACATTTTTAGTCTATAAAGCAATGATAAAAGCTGTTTTCAGTTACCCAGTGGTTACAATACTGAGGCTATCTGGAGTCATCTCTACATAGACAGTCTCCCTGTGCTCTGCACATCTCTGTTGACAACCTTAGGAACTTATTTATGAACAAATTTAGAGTAGATACAGCACATTATCCTGCATGCTTTATTATCTCAGACATAACCGAAGCATTCAATATAAAAAAATTCTCTTTATCATTCTTGTCTTGGCTAAGTCATCCATGACTGGTAATGAGGTATTTCCTTGTCCTTGTAATTGATGGGGGTTTCATGGCCTCCTTATTTGCTTTTGAAACAAGCGATTTTGAACCTAGATGAAGCTATTAACATTACTGATATAAATCAACCGACCACTCTTTATATTATTTAGTGTTCCATAATGATGAAACCTGTAGTAATAGTAGATAAGCCTCTATAACTCATTTAAATTTTCAAAAATGAATGCCTATTACAAGAAGTCTCACTGATGTAAATCAGGTACCTAACTGCTCATACCTACATTTTTGGATTTAACTTCTAATTTTGTGTTCATATTTTTTTGATTGCGACTGTAAATATGTAAGACCAAGGTTCAGTCATGATTGAAATTAGTGGATCTATCAGTGGTCCACAGTTTCAAATATACAAGCTTTAAAAGGCTGAAACACAAATACCCGTAAACTGGCACTCCCTCCCCCAAACATGGCACTTGTACTGTTTGTCAGTGGCACTCTAGTTTCACTGCCTGTAGAATTGAGATTCATGGAGGCTTTAGGAGGAACCTGAACTGGGCAACTGAAACAGATGAAAGGCAGCAAATCTGAAGTTATGGTTTTCTCATCCCAATTAATTCTTGAACATGTGTAATGCTTTGTGCAGCTGCATCTTCTGATACAGGGCACAGGCTTGGTTTTCGTGACTGTGGCGCATCTGAATGATAATGGGGCGGTCAGAAGTAAAATCTTGCACTTGGTATTAAGGTCAAAACAGAAGTGGAAAGAGGCAGTGAAAATTAAAATAAGAATTTTTAAGTGCTTAATTCTGCCTCAAAAAAGTGATAATCACATAGTATAGTGATCTATATATTTCAGATAATATTAAAGCAAATATTTGATAGACCTTTGAACTTAATAGAACCAAGACTTGATCTAAATTCTATCACAGTCAATTAAAAATATTAGAGCAAAGTCACAACTTTTGTAATAGGGACTGCTTTTCTATTTGCTGAAAATGTCAGAACCATGTGTCATGGTTTAATCCCAGCTGGTAATTCAGTACCACGTAGCAGTTCGCTCACTCCTCCCACATACTCCCCCTGCTCCTGGAGGAATGGGGAGGAGAATCAAAAGAATGTAACTCTCATGGGTTGAGATAAGAAAAGTCCAGTAACTGAGGTATAACACATACCACTACTGCTGCCACCACCAATAATAATGATAAGGGAAATAACAAGGGAAGAGAATACAGCCGCTCACTACCCACCAACCGATACCCAGCCTGACTGAGCAGTGATCTAAGCCCTTTCCGGTAACTGCCCCCAGTTTATATAGTGGGCATGATGTGCTGTGGTATGGAATACCTCTTTGGCCAGTCTGGGTCACGTGTCCTGTCTCTGCTTCCTCCTGGCTCCCCCTCCTCCCTGGCAGAGCATGAGACTTATAAAGTCCTTATTCAGACTAAACATTACTGAGCAACAACGAAAAGCATCGGTGTTATCAATGCTGTTCCCAGGCTGAAAGTCAAAACCACGGCACTGCACCAGCTACTAAGAAGGAGAAAAATGACTGCTCCTGCTGAACCCAGGACACCATGGAATCAGTTAGGTTCAAAAAGACGTTTTGAATCATCAAGTCCAACCATTAGGTATCACTAGCACTCAGCAATGTCAGGTATCTCCACGCAGGACAGGAACACTAAGCGCAACCGTTTAGGATAACTGTCATCTTGCACATGAAATGTAAATGGAACAGATTTCATGGCTAACCTGAAAAGGATATTGTGCTGCAGGAGGTGGTACTTCCTCAAGATTCATTGTTTCAACATATTGTATTTCTCAATTGATCCTTTTTGCTTCTTTTTTTTTCTAAGAGCAAAAATCCATAGCAGACTGTAAACTAATATTATAAATATATATACTAATAGTATAAAGTGTTCTACTTTGATGGTTTCACTCAATTTCATTTTTCAAGCTATATAAGCCACAGCTTTGGGTTTGTTAAACTTTAAAATAAAGGTAGTAAAACACCTCCCTTGTACCCTAATACAATCTTCTAATAAAAATTCCTTTTTAAGTCAGTTACAAGATTTGCAGAACACAGCCACACATCTGTGAAAGCATCTGCTGCAGCTGCAGGAGTACAGGGCAGAAGGAGGGACTAGGAGGAAAAGAAGAAGGAGAAATTAGGAGGAAAACACTTTAATTGCAAACCAGAAGCCTAGCAGCAGCATCCATAATTTTGTTAAGGTAACAGAGCTTATTCTCACTGAGCTTCCCTGCAGTTTTGTAGTGGGATGTATCTCATAGGAGAAGTCCAAATATGTTTAAAGGAGCAAAAACTTCAAAATAAGCTGCCTGGGACATACATTTGCATTCCTCATGGGAGATCTTCTGAGTAAAAAGCTACTCTTTCATGATATACAGTCACTCCTTAGGAAAAAAGGGACAACCGTTTGCTTTGTGCAGCTGACGGATGAGATTCTGAATTAATTATTCCTTATACATGTAACTTCTGAAGCCCATTATTTACATCAGTTCAGAGGGAAGCCCGAAAAAGGAAACATCCTACTCAAGGCAACATAAGCATATGCCAGTGTTAATTACCTGCTTGCGTTCTCATTGGAAGGACACAAACAGATGGTCAATGGTAATCACAACTGTAAGACTTGTTTTGAATGAAGACACTCTCAAGCCTGCAGCTAAGTGTTTTCCTGAACTGAAACTAGGATCTGATACCCTATAATTCTACTCAGAAAAAAGTACACCTGTTGTTCCAACACATAATGTCTAATTAAGTTTCACAGAAGAAAAACAAAGGAGTAAGGTGACACTGGAAAATCTTAGAAGTTTATGTAAAAAAATGTTTCTTATACCTTTGTCATGTTCATAGTAAGAAAGGTTTGCTTTTGTCTGAACAAACAAGCTTTTCTTGTAATTAATTAGTGGTATTTTTTTCTTCTGTAGTGATTTCTTTAAAAGAAGTTCTAGAATTGTTCTCTTCTCCATTGTATTACTACTATAAAAAAGCATTACAAGGTCAACTATAGAAACTGTAATGAATATAGTAAGAGTCATTGTATTCTAAGTTTTATAAAATTTAATGTAATATCTGGTTACAAAGCATGTGTTTAATACTGCTTAAATGAATTTACTGAGTGCATAAACTAAATAACCTTATTTGTTTAAGCAGTATTAATAGTATGCAAATAACAGTATGCAAAAATATACTTTTATTATATTTGTATACTACAATAATAGTATACAAAAATTAAGCTACAGATATACTGTAGTTCTAAACAAAGAATCTCTGTTATTTTATTGTCTTGAGAATCTCTGCTTTTAAGACCACGCACCCTTTCTGGCAAAGAGCATAGTCTGCTTTATCAACAAATGTATTACATCTGCAGCATAACATGCAAGTCATTACAGCAGGAAAGAGAATGACAGGAAAGCAAGCCATTCTATTTACAGACCAGAAAACATACCTAGTGTTAACAAGTGTGTTCCCTGAACTAGAAATTTCTCATTCCTTTCTTTCAACTGAAATAAAAGCATATTTATAGAATGGTGACACATAGAAAGATCAAAAAGTAAAAATGTTCTTGCAAGGTATGTATATGCATCTATATTTATAGCTATGTATTTTTTCTTAGCCTTGATAAGCATACAATGGAAAATGCCAAGAAGGATGAGATCCATCATGTTTCTACAAGTTTAATACAATTTCAGGTTATCTTACTGAAATGTGAAGAATGTAGGCCACGTCTTTTGCCCTGTACGTTGTGGAGCTCCAAGGGGAAGTGCTGAGCTAAGCAACCCACTTTGTTTTGTCTCTGTTCACTTCAGAGACCCCAGCAGGAAAGGAAAATTTGCATGATGCTCATCATACTTGATCTTTCCACTGAATCCCACCCAACACCAGAAAGTACCAAATATCCAGTACAAACAGTCTGAAGAGGAAAAGAGGGGGCTTTACTAACCTGCTGGAGGCTAAGAGAAAGGATAGGTGAGGTGGAATTTTAGCTACCACATTTTAAAGCATTATTTGTAGCTCTTTTTTTCCAGGGTTGTCAGTCTGTGAGCTTTACAAAATTTCTTAAATAACTGCTGCTTGAATTACTCTGAGCAATTACCTGAACTGCCAGGACTGATAACATCGTTCATGTGAGATTAGGTTTCTGATCTTCCATATCTGATAGACCTTTGAGCATAAGTAAACAAGATTTGATCTACGCTCTATCACAATTAATTGAAAACATTTCAGAGAATTCGGACTTTCAGAAGTAAGGACTCTAACACTGTAATGACTGAGACCCCAGAGAATATCAGCTGAAGCCACATGGAGTGACTGCAGTCTATACTTGGTGTGGCTTAGAAAAGAGAACAAGTATTTCCATTACTACTTGTAGAAGCACTAACTAAACAACCTCTGGGTTTGACAAAGTTGTGCCATGAGTGCATACCAAGAAAAGAGTAAAGACAAAAGGATTTATCACAATATATAATTTCATTTAAGTATTAGAACCTTACATTCTATGAATCATAACTTGCAACACCTATTGGTTAAAAATGGTATTACAAATACAGGAATATTACATATATCAAATACAAAATATGAAATAAATATTAAACTCCTGCAAGATTTATTAAACGTATTTCTTAAACAAAACTATAAATACTTGTAATATATATATATTTTTTTTTTTAATATGCGCAAACCCACATACTCTTCTTTCCGAAACAATTAGCTGAAAACAATAGTCTGTTCCACTTAGGAACACGATGTTTGTGCATATGTCCTTGCATAGTATATGACATCCTGGATTGCCTTGTGATCTAATAGTATACCTTCTACCTTGTTATCTGTGGATCTGTGGCAAGCACATGACCTATTTCTAAGGGTGCAATAGATGGTTAAAGGTACAGATTAAAAGAAAAATGTAAAATAGCCTCTAAGTTTATTACATCCCTTGGTTTCTCTGAAACAGAATACTGTGTTTTCAGTCTTTGAGGGGGCAGCTGCTTATGTTGCAGCTTCTTATATAAGCCACTTCATTACTGGAGTGCTCTGGTTCAAGTTTAAAAAAAAGTCTTCCACACTTTGACTTCCCTTTTGTGGAAAAGAAATTGTAATAGCTGAAATTAATGTCAAATGAAGCACTCAGAATTTGGGGTTTGTTTTTGGTTTGTTTCGTTGTTGTTTTGGTTTTTTTTTTTTTACTTTTTTTAAAATAAGGTCACAGTTGAAGGAATAAAATGTGCTTGTTTTGCACTGCCTTTTCACTGCCCAGGCTGCCCTTCCTCCGTAAACAGACTCTTCTGGGCAAGTCAGAATGTGCTTGCTCTAACCACTCAGTTGTGCTGAAGTGATAATCCTTCAATGGAGAAAGTGCAGAGAGTGGCCTGTGCTGTGTACAAAATTCTGCCTACTTAAGAGAATTGCAGGGTATGGTATCTTCCCTCTTTGCTGGGTGGAGCTCAGTTGCTTCAACTGTGAAAGCTAATTCCTATCTGGAATAGAAAGCCATACAGAATTAGCTGTAAATATTTGTTCCATATAAGTTTGAAGAGACATAAAGGATCTAGGGATCTTCGACTACTTTTGCATGCTTGAAATGCGTGTTTTGTACTCCAAACAGTTGCGCTTGTACTGAGGATATTCAAATTTTCCTTGCTTATGTAAGACAGTGTTTCAGGAAGTAGTCTAGTGATCTTATATTGTAATACGAGTGCTACGCTACTAGCTTTGTGACCTGAGCTTTCTCTTAAAGAAGTATGGACTTAATAAACCTAAAAAGCACAGTCCGTTACCCTGATAAAGTATCTTTTTGATTGCTGACGTTTTCCAGTATTTCTTAAGGAGTGATCACTTACCTAGACAAGTAAAGCTAACAACGTAAATTATATACATTTGTAATTTATATCAGGTATGTTGTAATATCTTCATATTATCGCCAAACAATCAAAGTACCAGTCAGGTATCAAATGACCATGAAATTAAAAAAAAAAAAGAAATAGAATTGAAGGTTTTTTTTTATCACCTTTAGGTCACTTTGATTTCTTTTACACAAACTTGGAATCTAGTTTTATTGTCAGTGAGAATTGCTTGTTTTCACATATATGCTTGATTTCAGTAGCCAAAGATTTCAGCAAATCATGAAGTGCCTTGACATTGTTCTACTCAGGTTTTAAATAAGGCTTTCATAACAGACTTACGTGTGCATGTAGCCACCAGCATTTCCTCTGTGCCAAAGTGCAAGGCTGAGATGGCACACCACCAACAGTAGTATTAAGTTGACTGGGGACAGTCTGTACAAACTGGAGACGAATATACTTAAAAAGGTCTGTGGGACATGTGGGGGTGTATTTGAGGGCTCTAAGAGAGCTAACTGATGTAATTGCAAAGCCACTCTATTATTTCTGGAAGGTCACAGAAACCAGAGGAAGGTTGTGGACAACAGGAAGAGGACAAAGTACTACTCCCAACTGTGAAAAGAGAGAACTACACAGGAAGAAACTGCCCGCTGGTGAGCACACCCTGGGAACAGTATGTAACATGTCCTCGTGGAAGCTGTTTGCTTACTTTTGAAGGGCAAGAAGGTGGCTGGAACAAGCTAAGTCAGATTTACCAAGAGTAAACAGTGAATAACCAACCTCATTGCCTCCTGAGATAGAGGGAAGGGAAGGAGAGGGAACTAGCTACATCCTTCAAATATGAATCAAAGTATCAAATAATGAAAGGTATTTATAGAGAGGAGTGAGACATTCTTCACAAAGATGCATAATGATGGGGCAAGAAGCAACAGGTCTCAGGAAATTCTGTCTGCATGTAAGGAAAAAATACTTCTCTGTGAGAGGAGTTAATATTGAAATCATGGTGGATCTTCTTTGCCAGAAATAGCCAAGACTCAGTCTGACATATGCATGGCCATCATTTCCCAGAGGAATTTGGGCAACAGGCTCTCTGGAAGTCCCTTTAAACCCGGCGAGCATCCTGTGGTTTTGAACTCTCACCAGTCTCTCTTTCTCAGGAGAGCCAGCAGATGGCACGGTTCAACAGCACTAAAAATCTGCAAGCAGCAGTAAGGTGTGCTACACCCTGAATAGAAAAAAAACCATGTTTATTTAGAAAAAGGACGCAGGAAGAACCACTTCTACTTAAGAGAGGGGTATTCAGCATAGTTTTTTTAAAAAAAAAAAGTTTATTTTGTTGTCAATTTAGCATTGAAGGTGTGTTGTGTGCCTGTGTGCCCAAGCTATGTAACACTAGGCCTTCCTGGTAGCACAGCATTAGCTATGGTAGGTTAAAGGTGATCTTCCCTGGCTCTCCATTTCTGACAGGAAGGCCGTTTGACCTTTTAAGGAACAGCTTATAGGTGTCTTATAGCTAGGCAGCCTCATGTATGCATATGAGCTTGTTGAGTGAATGAAAGACATGGGACCTCCAACACAGCAGAGGCATTACAGGTCCTCAGAAAGGTGCACCACCAGTCACTAATGGGACCAGGACATGGAACTTTAAAGACAGCAGGCATCTGGGACCTTGCTGCTTAGCAGTTTAGCCCATACCTCATTTCTGGTGAGCATCTGTGGAATCCTTGAGACATCCAGAGGCAGGGAGCAGGCTGTACTTTCTGTGTGATTCTTTTCACGTGAACAAAAATGGTAGTTAGAGATGATTAGGGACTTTGTGTAAGAGCAAGCAGTGCTCTTTGTATAAGAGCAAGTTTTAAAAGAAAAGAGAGTAGATTTAGATTAGATATAAGGAAGAAGCTCTTTATTGTGAGGATGGTGAGACACTGGCACAGGTTTCCCAGGGAATTTGTGGATACCCCATCCCTGGAGGTGTTCAAGGCTTGGTTGGATGGGGCTTTGAGCAACCTGGTCTAGTGAAAGGTGTCCCTGCCCTTGGCAGGGTGGTTGGAACTAGATTATCTCAAATGTCGCTTCCAACCCAAACTGTTCTGTGGTTCTATGATTAGGCTCCATCTAATTTTATTGTTGAT